GACTCAAAATGATGACTTGTGTAAGTCATCTCACATTACAACTTTGTGTCACCATGTTGATCAAAATCATGAGATTTTTTATAACTTTCTCAGTTTTGTCCAAAACCTTCAGTAGGGCTCATTTTTGCGCATGGCTAGGGCCTTCTGAATATACATTACAATCACCACCTCATAATTGTCTGTGGGCAAACTCCAGAGCCCCATATGTCTCTCAAATTTGTGCTATTTCTGCGTGATGACTTGCAACTATGGAAATGTTGATAACTTTTTCATTTCTCAATAAAAAAACTCCAGTAAGGGCTCAATTTCTGCGCATTGGCTGGGGCTTTCTGAATTTACAACCCAATCACACTCATGATGTGTGTGGAAAACTCCAGAGCCCCTCATGTCTTCCCCGCGCACCTCAGTGACGCGCATGGATGCAATCTGTAATAACTTTTTCAAGTTACATCCAAAATGGTCCGTGGTAGACTCAAACTCTCCGCCAAGGTCAGGGCTTTCTGATGGTACCACCACACACCACTAATCACGTGTACATGGATCAATATATCCACATAACACTTCACCAATCACGACTCCCGCACCGCTCCTGCACCTCAGGTCCATTTTCACCAATAAACTTGGTTGTTTATTGGTGTCTCCCACTGTTCAAAAGATTAAACATGATTCATTGTAACATCTTCTTCTACTGCAACTTCCAAGAAGCCAGGTTAAAGCAACTGTAATGCATAAACCAATGAAACTATCAATTTTAGAACACTATACATTTTCATGTCATGAGTTTTTCATGGGTTTTTTTAACATTGATGCATTCTGAATCAAGCATAAAAGTCTACATGAGATTCTGTTTCACTTCAATGGATTCTTATTGAACACTTCAATTGATTCTCATTCAGGCATGTCATACAAATATCTCAAGGTTTTTGAATAGAGAATAACTAAGTACATTTTTTAATACTCAACATCTTCCATATCATCATACAATGCTAACCTATCAAGTGCTGAAGACACTGCTTTCTCAGTTGCACTCAATACTGTTTGTTTGACAATCTCTTCCTCTTCATCTGCATCCTTATCTTCCTCTTCGTCCTCAATAATAACCAAATTGACTTCATTTCCAACAACATTCCTATCTTCTGCTACTGGTTGGTCTACTGGTAGTTCTACTCGTTGTTCTATTGGTTGTTCTACTGGCCACAATCTGTCTGCCAATGAGAGACATCCAGGAATCATCGACATTCCTTGTTCACCAATACTTGACACAAACCTACCAAGTCCTCCCCAATCCTGTGAAAGACCATTATCACCAGCTTGAGCTACTGTACCTCGAAACACCTGTTGAAATTTGTTAGATGACTTCCGCATATGGTGCAAAAGTCGTATCAATCGAGTGTGAAGGAGATTTATTGCCGAAATTTTGCGAGACTGAGGGTCAATATGACTTAGGGTGGGATGGTTGAGAAGGGGTTGAATGGCTTCGACGTCAGGTAAGCCGGGCTCCAACATACCATGGAGAAGACATTGAAGAAGATGAGAGATTCGGGTACGAGTGTTGATGATCCATCGCATTTCACGTCGTACTTCCCACCCAATTCTACGCAGTTCCTCTTCGGATCGTTCAAGGTAAGAAAGCTGTCGCATTCCGTATTGAGTCGAGGGATCGATTGCCCATGGTTCATTGTGATTGGTGAAGAGACCTTCACTCCAAAAAGGATCATCCGGCGCAATCTGGAACAGCGTTGCGTACTCAATATCAGGAGGATACGCAAGGCGATTAGGGAATTTTTGACGAAAAGTGTTGAGGCGTTCTTGGTAGCGATCAACGGCCTTGCCGAGAGCGGCAGCATGCTTTCGTATTGAGGCAAGAACAGCAGTCCTGCCAGAAACACCTGTATTTCTAGTTAGTACTGTTCCTACGGATAATTTTGAGATGAAGCATGTACTTACCTAAGTTTGAATCTCGACCATGAGCTTGAGATTGGTTAAGGGGCAACTTTTCCTTGAATATTGCAATCAACCTAGATCGGACATCTCGCATGCAGTACCAAACCATTAGAAGGCCATCGTGCTCAGGCCCTGAGAACGAGTTTCAGTCACAATTATCATGTCATTTGATTTTAAATATACACTTACTAGTTAGCAATGCAAGCACATCTGCTGCTCCAACCTTTCTTCGCTGTGTCGTGATTTTTTCCTGGAGTTCATTCAACCTTTGTGCCCGTGATATTTCATACTCAGCAGTAGGAACAGGGCTATTCCTGCAAATTTTAAATCAATCATTGTGAGTATCAGTCATCAGTATCTTATATAGATTATAGACCGGCATACCAGAGCTTCTGAATCTCTTGTTCTAGACATAGCAATCGTCCCAGTTCAAGTTTTTGTTGCTCTTCTGCATGCTTCTTGCTGGCTTGTGCGTTCCTTTCCAATATCCATTGCTCCCTGAGAAAATCAGCTGAATAAAACTGTCGGTCAGGATCGTAGGGGTTGCGTTGCGTGTACAGATTCAATAGTCCTTCGCTTGCTTCCTTCTTGACCTGGTTGGCGTTGTTCAACTTGCTGAGGAGCCATTTCCCTGTAACATTCCCAAAGAATTAGTACTAAGAGGGATTTGAAACTAAAAAAGAAGAGACTTACCACTGGTTGATTTTAGATTCTCGTTGTAAAAGTTGCAGCGCCAGTGTAACGCCCAAAATCGATGTAACCGGGTTGATGTCCGAAGCACTGCTACTAGGGCTGATAGGAACGACCACAGTCGCTCCAGACCTTCACCGTCGGATAGACCCCAGTACTTGTTGTATCGAGGATTGTAAACTATTTGGCATGCCCATTCGTGGACGTATGCATGGAACACAGCTGTCCCAAACATCAATCGAGTCTGAAAATTGGGTAAGAGACCCCTCTGATTCAGTAATAAAAAAGGTGAGTTGATAAATCGGAAGAAACAAAATAAACAATCAAGTGGCAGAAATTCTTACCTTCTTGATGTGTGCATCAAGGTGACACCCAATGTCGTAGAGAACGCCAAACTTGATATTGGGGAGTTGTTCTAGAAAGTATCCCAGTATGCTGACTGGATAATGCAATCTACACATTGAGATCGACTGAGTTAGATGTGGAAATCAAAATTCGAGGTGGAAATAAATTACTCACTTCTCAGATTCCTCATGGAGGTTTGCCATCTTGAGCATGAGGTCGTGTCGACATGCAAACGCAAAAAGTCCATTATCATCACACGATTTCCTCCAGGTGGCGCTGCTTCGGGTGTCATTTGCTGCTGTGTGAGAGTCTGAGCAAGCAGTCTGCAGAATGAGACAAGGTAGATAACAAAAGATCAGCCGATGCAGTATTCAAGATCTGTGGAATCATGTGAGCGACAAACCTTGATATCGCTGGCTAGTGCAGCAGTATTCTTACACAAGTCGGCCACCTTTGTGATCTGCAAGGGTAAAAGGAAGGATGAGGGATATTCGTGCTCGGCTGGGTTGTCTTTGCTGGCATAAGAGTAATGACGGTGTTGAAAGTTGCCATCGGCGCATATGATGACATCAGGTTCATCTGGTGATACTTTTACTTCACCTTCTCTGGGTCCAAAGCAGCGAGAACACTTGTCGGCATATACTTCTAGTAAACTGAGCTCGAGTCCTTCTATGTAAAGTAGTTCTTGATGATATAATATTCGCCGGTAAAGATCAATTGAATGGGTTATAGGTTTTCTAAGTTCCCGCTTGCAAATTGTTCCATTACGAAGCTGGCCATAGAGGGGTGAAGCTGATCGATCGTCCAGGAAACCTCCAAGAGCGTCAATAAAGGAACTTGTTGAAAGTGCCGAGGTCTGCCAAAGTCGGTTATGGAATTGAATGAGAGGAATCGAGAAGGCTGTGTGTGGTTGGGAAGGTGAGCTTGCGAAGTATCCTGCATAGAGAAGGCGGATGACATCTGGACAACACTTGCAAAACGTGAATTGGTAACTGCTTAATCGACCTAGTAAAACAGAATTATAGATGATAAGTGTAAGAATAAAAAATGAAAGCTGTCACCACTTACCATACATGTCAATGAGGTCGATCAGCCGGGTGGTTTGGTTATTACAGCGGCATTCGGGCTGGTTGGCTAGGTATGACATGCTAGTTGTCCAATTCTGGGTTGCATGCTGACGCTCAAGGTATACAGCGGTGACAGGAGCTGCAAGAGCAACCCATTGTTTTTCGAAGTTGAGCCGTTTTTGAGCATAGTGTTGCGCTCTTGCAGCCTCAGCTAGTCGTTCGGCCGCGCCATCAAGGGTAGGGACAGGTGGGTCATCTTGAGGGTCATAGTTGACATCGGGTTGATTGTTCCAATCGTCTTCGTGTTCATCGTGTCTATCCAGTTCAGCTGGTGGTTCAACTGGTCGAGCTGGTCCAATTCCGAGGTTCTGCAGGAGATTAACGGCTCGATCGTGGGGGATATGATGACGGTCAGGTTCGGTGTCTCGATGTCGCTTTGGCTTTATACTGGGGAAGAATTTTTGATCTCTGGGAAGTCTGGGCATCTTGATGCAAAGGGCGGTATTTGGATAGATTTTCGATGTTGATAGATGAGGTTGATGAGGTGTTCAGAACAGTTGATATCACAATCCTTCGTTCGGCCAGACCAGTGAGGTACAAATCCGGTTGTCTTACTCAAAGGTCCCAAGGTTATCAGGGCTCTGAATCCGGTCAGAGGTGAAAACACTTGTTGGTCTAATGAAAGGATTGATCTTCAATTGTTGAGTGTTGATTTTTGATAGGGATGTGATTGGTTGTTGATGGTTGATATGATTAAACTTGAGAACCATCGGTCGCTTCGAAGTTTTGAGTGGAACAAGTCAAAAGTTGATCGAAAGCCACAAGCCTTGGTGTAGACAAAGTCGGGGTGGGTCACCTGGCGAGTAGCCCGAATCGGACGTATGGCCGGTACCGGGGGTATGTGCGATTGAGGGACTTGGTTGTTTTTTGTTGATTTTGAGGCCAAATAATCGGCGATAGCGGCGATAGTGGCGATAATCGGCGATAGACCTCTTCACTGTCTAGAGCAGTGGTACAGGGTCACTTCGTACACTGCTCTAGATAGCTGTATAGGAAGTCCGGAGGTGCATCGAAGAGAGAAGCCTGAGAATTGAAGCCGCTAAGCCAAATTGCTCGACTCTCGCGGGAAAACTTGGACAAGCTTTTTGAATATGACAGTATCAATACATACTTATCAATAATCATTGGCTTCCGTTTGCTTCCGTGCCGTGAATGATCCGAAGCCAGCATTTGCGATTCATTCGGATCAACCAACTCAGGGACGCGCAGTTCAACAAAGTGTTGAATCTGGCCAAGTAGCAGAAAACCTTTCATGATTGTTCTACGATGGTTTTTCACGCTTACTCACACTAGGAGTAAGTATAAAACTAGCGGTCAAAAAAAGATATGCGACCCATATTCAGCTTGCCCTACGTCAGACTCACACAGCCAGGTGAATGTGGGTCAAGACTCAAGGCAAGGTATGTATTGGTTGTTGCAGGCTCATTGTACTGATTGCAATCCGAACCGACGCGGCTGTCTGTCACTTGATCAGGGGAAGCGGACGGTGGTATGAGACCCAATACATGGACACTCGAGTCGATGGTGTCATGGTCAACCCGTAGCGATTGTTATGGTTTTGCCAGAGTTTCATGACCGGTGCACTTTCAAGCGAGAGGTTGCGATGACCTCCCAAAATGAAAGTTTCGACTGGCTACGTCATTCGGTTTCCGGTCAAATAGCCATGTTGAGATCTGGTTATAGTGGCAATTATTGCGCATGGCATTCCTCAGCGATCCAAATCGGTTCACGCAACCAGCTGCTCTCAATAAAATGACCAAAAGTGCATATACTTTGCCTCTATGCACCATTGCGTCTCCCCCCTTTTGGCCTCGTGTTTCGCGTCTTCTCATCACCATATATAATTTAAGTTTCATTTTTCTTCAGTTATTTTCATCTTCCCCATCGAAGTTTCTCCCGCCAGTCGGGTTCTTTCGATCGTCATCTTTTCCCTAACACCAGTGTAGGTCGCCGGACGCCATCTCACAACGCTCAAGACACTGTTGACTGCTGCACTGATATTTGCTGTGAATCATCTTAGCATCTGTATCTTAGAATCGACGTTGTTTGTGTTTTAGTCTTTTGTTTGCGTCACTTATCCTTATAATCTAATTTATCGTCATACCAGTTTAATCAATATTTGAGTGTACCATAACCCTCATCCAGATCATCAACACAGTTTCTTATTTATCCTATACGATCTTCTTAGCGCTATCAAATGGGCACGTCGGCATTTTTGAGGTTTGTTCTAGTCGCAATCGCAGGAATTGGACTGGCCAACGGTCAATTCGCCTCTGTAGGACTTTCGGGATTCGGAAATCCATACGGACAACTTGGCGGCTTTAATCAGTTCTCTCCTGTCGGTCAATTTGGAACCATAGGTCAATTTGGCGGCCAACAGTTCGGAAATCAATTCGGACAAGGTTTCAACCAGTTCTCTCCATTTGGACAATTTGGAGGTATAGGCCAATTTGGGGGTCAACAGTTCGGAAATGTGGGTTGTTTCAAACTCACTCTTGTCCTTCTATCACGTACTGAACAAACACGTCTCTTTGAAGGCGTACGGTGCATACGGTCCATACGGCAACTTTTATCGTCAACAACGTGAAGCGCGTCGTCTTCAATTGCAATATGCAAATTTGCTAAGAGGTCAACAGTTTGGCTACGGTGGTCTTGGTGGTCTTGGTGGTTTTGGTGGTTTTGGTGGTCAATATGGCATACTTGGTGGTGGGCGCGGTGGGCGTCTACGCGGTGGTCAACAGCTTGGTCAATTCGGCGGCTTCAATCAATTAGGTGGTTTCAATCAATTAGGTGGTTTTAATCAATTAGGTGGTTTCAATCAATTAGGTGGTTTCAATCAATTGGGAGGTTTCAATCAATTAGGTGGTTTCAATCAATTAGGTGGTTTCAATCAATTAGGTGGTTTCAATCAATTAGGTGGTTTCAATCAATTAGGTGTTCAACAGTTTGGTCAACTAGGTGGTCTTGGCGGTCTTGGTGGCCAGTTTGGTGGTCAGCAGTTTGGGCAACTTGGGGGTCAAGTAGGACTTGCAAGACCGCCGGCTGGGTACGTACTTGCTAGTTCTACAGTTGGCTTGGGCGGAGGTGGATTTCCAATCCGCTCTGTCGACACCTCGGGGGATCAGAAACCTCAAGGCTCCCAGATACAGAGAGTAGCTACGGGGCCACCCTCAGACGAGCAAAGTAACAAACCTGTCAGTTCATTTTTCATGAATAACCTGCTTTCAAACGACATTCTCCTAAAAACATGCAACTGAAAATGCTCAAACCTTCGAAATGCCCTCTTCTGTCTCTCCATCCAGGGCTGTCGCAGTCGATCTTCCTCTGACGGGTCATGGGGTCATCCTCTCTGGTGGGGCGTGAGTTACCCATCCATCTACAAACTCGCAGTAAAAAACTTCGGTGAATGTAATTTCAGCCCTCACTGACATATGTCCTTTTTTCCGGCCACGAAATAATGCAGTGGGGAGACGATTGTGAAGAAACAATGACAAAACCCGCCGGTGTAGCGGGATCACAGGAACCAGTTACTGGCCTACCCAACGCTCCGCAGAGTCAGCGAATGGCAAATACAGCAGGTCTCCCGGCTGAGGCTTCGCCGTATGACCCAAAGATGCCTATGATGCCTTCTTACGGTCCCTTGAGTATGTACTTTTTTCATTGGCCTATTGAATTCATCGCACCAATCGTCTCAATGTGTTGGTCTGTATCTCACTCGTACCCGTAGGTCAACCTGCATACCAGCGAAACATGGCACCAATGGAATACCAAGGACTCAACAGTAACATCAATGGTTTATATAACAGCGCAATCCCTATGAATCCATCAAATGAGCTTGTAGGCCATTCTGGAGGGCAAAGAATTCCTTTTGGTCAAATTGGTAGACCAAGCGGCGACTCCAGTCTTATGCAAGACAACACTCCACGACCAGAAACCGCGAACGGAATTCCTCAAACGCCTCCAGGAGTTACTCAAAGTCCCAATGGCCCACTAGGAGTTGTCCCAGAACCATATCAATCACCTCAAACCTATGTTTCCAATCAACCGGTGATGAATGCTAACCAATTGACGGGCGTTAAGCCTAAGCAGTGAAGCCTGGCTGCTCATGGATCGATATGAGAGCATACAGAATGTTGTATACCATATACCAGTTGTTGTAGTTTGCTTATAAAACATGACCAAAAAGATGACTATGCTAAATGCGATTTCAATCTATCCAAAGGAAGGCTTCAGAAAATCGAGCAATCAATCTGAGCCACCATATAGACGAAAAATTTCGCAGTCAGGAGCCTTGTCTACTCGATGATTAGCATCATCACAAAGGTAGAATCATTTTGGACGTTTCTCTTACCTTACAGCCATTTACAGGTCACCTCAGGTGGGTGACCATGTACTTAGTAGCGCCCCCATCAGGATGACTGCCACAAATCCTCAGGGAGTCGAAAGCTGACGGTGTATGACCGTGCCCACAGGTGAAACGATTGCAGTGTATAGACCCCGAGGTCCCCACGGAGTGAGTTCAGGAATGCTGAGCATCCAAAGGGTGCGCGAGATCATACTATACTATGATGGACCGGTGAAGTCATTGCTTCAAATCTTCTATTTTTCTCTTCATCTTGACCTCGGGTAATGGCGTCCGAGTCCAGAAACCCTCGATCCTGACTCAAGAACGACCCATGGCAGGCCTCGGTTGCCGTGTCAGTGTAATGGATCACGATGGTCTTGCAATCCGAGAAGTGTGATACCCTGTATATGATCGGTTTTAGTGTTGCGTTGACCAAAGTACATAGCACATAATGTAGCGCCCCCACAAGCCGAAGTGATGATTAACGACATGCTCTTCATTGAAATCACCGGGCGTCACTTGCTCAAATTTCTTTGGCGCTCTTGATCATCATAGCGCTCTTTATGTCTGGGGTGAACATGGATATATATAGATATGCCGAGTTGTCTAAGGTTGTCTACCCCCGCCGGTTGTCATAGGCTCCCCGATTACCACACCTGGACCACCAAGACCTAATCTGAGGACGCTCGCGACCGACGGCTGATATGCCTTCAGATTTCTCGCGATCAGATCAAGAAAGGTGATATTTCTTCAATATTTTCGTATGTATTGTTGACCCCTGCGTACTCTACAATCCATAAAATCATCTTCCTTTTGACACACACAAGCTCACAAAAAACTACACGATGCATGCATCAGCTTTAATTCTGACTGCCTTTTGTGCCACCACTTTTTTGCCTACAACTCAGGGCGGAAATGTTGTTGTAGATTTCAGATTCAAAGCTGATGATAAAGTTGAAGATCTTCCCAAGAAGACCAAATTCTTATTTTTTTGTGAAAAGAAAATCACCGAAGTCTTCGAATATCTCAAGGGTACGGCACCTAAACCTACTGAGCTTGAACTTTCGATTTCGGATGCTTGTGTGTTCCTCCCTGGTGGCGGTAAAAAACAATTTGGTTTCAGGTACGTTAATTCTTTGGGTTTCAGAACGTTTTTACAAAGCCTCTCATATTTACGAACATATCAAGCTGATTGGTGAAACAAATCTTGTTTTCAGGCGTGCAGAAGTATTACCAAAGTATGAACCCAAGACAGTCGAAACTGGGAAGAAGATTTATCATCATGTAAGCATGCCAAATTTCTCACTTCTCATGACGAAGCAAGTCGACTTCATACTTACTCCATATTTTATTTCATCATGATATCAAAAGAGTGTGAAACTTGATAACAAGCACCCGATCAATGCATCTCACCAGTACATCCTCGCCAGCCTTGAGGACCCCAAGGTGAGTGACTACATTGAACTTGGCATCCAGACAAGCTAATCATGTGAATCTCGATGGTACCGCAATTTCCACGATTTTTGTCAAAAATCTAGCTGGGTGAGTGTGCAACATGTAATGATAATCCATCGTGAAATCTCAATATGCTGACATTTATCAAACGCTCCTGGGTTCACTTTTGAAGGGAGTTCAATCTACGATATCATTTGGGGGACAGAGTTCGAAGGCACTAGGATCGATAAGTTTACACCGGATGAAAAGGCTAATAATTTCAGAGTCAGAGATTTCGCGAGGAAAACCTTTGCAACGATCCCAGCCAGTGATACAAGTATTGTAAACTTTGCAATTGAAGTAGATGTAAGCACTTCTGACTTGAAACTGTGTTCAGTTACCCAGGATCATAATGGAACTCATGTTGATGTTTTGGCTCTTGATAAATCTCTATATATTGATCTTCTCAGTTCACAAGCAAGTAAGTGATTTTGTCACAAAGAGACTGAAATACCATTAGTATTACATTATGCTGAGCATTATTTGTTTTCTTGATATATCTACAACAGCAGTCTTCAAGTTCATTCATCAAAAGACCAAGAACCACTGAAAAAAGTGGGAGAAGCTCACAAGAATGATGATAAGGCAAAAGCAAGTTATGGAAATTGTGAACTACATGTACAGCTCATCAAATTGTGAGTGAAATATATGATCAACAAATGTTTTCTTCACCAGTCAACTGTTTGACATTATTACAGTCCTATTGCAAATGGAACAGAAAAGCTCGAGGATAGAAACAATGTACCTTTCTTTGGCATCCAAGTGAGTTTATGACTACTGAACTTGTCTTGACAAAGGTATTTGATGTGAGTGATAAACTAATCATGTCATCTTCCATGAATCTTATTCTACAGCCACCCATCAAAGAGAGAGAATCAGTCTTTCATTCAAGAGTCTTTGTGGAGGATGCACCATTGACAACTGATCCAAATGGTCCCTCAGCATCTGCAAACACCACTTCTACCAATACCACCACTACTACTGGTACTGGTAATGGCACCAGTACTGGTAATGGCACCAGTACTGGCAGTGGTACTGGTAATGTCACTGGTACTGGTACTGGTACCAAAACTGGAGGTAAAACGTAAGGATCCCATCTCCTGTATTTTTAAAAACTGCTAGAAGCAACATAGGTTTGGTTATGTACAACTGACATGAAATACTATGTCTCAAAAACAAATGATGGTAGTGGGAAGAAACTATAGTTACCCAAACTCACAGATCTTTCTCAGTGTGAAATTTGATACCTAGTAATGTTTAACTCTTTAGAGAATCATTAACCATTGAAATAAAAATCCTCATTTAATTACATATCAATGCCAAGAAATCAAGCATACTTTCACAAGATTTTGGGAAAGCACAACTTGAATCCAAAGTATTCATGATTTAAATGAATGATGCAAGACAGTGTCAAATTGACTGAGATTTGAAAAGAAAAAATAAGTAGTTCAACTGCTACCAAGTAAACTCAGTTCAATCCTTGTTACTGTACAATATAAGGCCTCTGGAATCATGATTATCAATGTGCTTGGTCTTGATAATGATTTAGATCTCCACTGCATTAAAGAATCAGATGAATACAATCTTCCATAAGTTAAGAGAAAAACACAAGCCAACATACATATATTGATCCTTATTGCCTTGTTCAGAATATTTCTACCCTGGATAGGCCTTGAACTCTTACTCAACACTTATTATTCAACACTTTTATGTTCCTTGAACAGTATAAGGTTTTTTAAAACCCCATATAAAATCATTCTAATTTGGTCTCATATTGGATTAGCAAAACCCATTTTTTTCTTTCATGATATTATAAACCAGATTTTCCTTAGAAATGAATCACACAGAGCAAATAAATAGCTCAGAATACTTAAAACTTTGTCTTAATGGAAGAAACAATTGTTTTAAGCCAATGGGATCAATGTGGTTTCCATTGAAATTTATAAAGAACAGCAATACACAATATATCTACCAACCCTGCGCCAGCAACGCAGATGTTGCATGCTGCACTGTGCTTGTATTGCAGTTTTTCAGACCACATGCACCATAGAATTAATGTATAGGTTGCGGCCTCATGTGCTATGCAAAAAGATCCGTCATATCAATGGTTTGTTTGGGCTGCAACAATTACAATTCAACTAGCCAAATTGAGTGGCAGGCGCCGCACTTGTTAGAAGAGCTAATCTTTGATTGATTTGCAAAGGCTTCTGGAGGTATTTCTGGCTCAAGTATTGCCCAAGACAGCACCCTTCAATGTTAGTGACAATTGGTTGGATGCAAATTCAGCAAAATATGTATCATAATACCATGTTGATCACTGGATACAGTATGAGTAATACAGTGCTAGCCTAATTATATTACACAGTTAAGGGAAACATGTCCACCTGTCACCGACCAGTATCCCAATTCCATATCCGGTGCCAGCGTCTCCAAACTACTATATCTCTTCTGGGATGGTATCCGGTTCAATCCTCCTTTGATCAAATTTTTTCAACGCCTTAACCCATTGCATAATTAAGTTCAAATTGTGCACCTTTTGGAATTTCCCTCACAGCACTATGATTATACCATCCTTTGTCAAACCGGTACATACTCCATAAATAAGATTTCAAGTCTGGTAAAATAGATTTCATATGGCTTAGTTGTCCAGTAATCTTTTCAATCTCCTTTTTATTACATTTCTGGTTTGGGGAAAGCAATTCTTCTATTTTCTATATTCTCTCTTCTAGTTTCTCTTGAGGTGATCTTACTGCTCTTTTTTTCCATTCCATATAAACCCTAAATATTTTTGTTCAACTGCCCAGTTCAAGTTTTTTTGTGATTTGATTGTACACCTACGTTTTTGGTAATTTGTAGTATGTTTTCCATTCTTACGTCTTCTCCTTCACATTTCTCAAACATGCAATCAGCAACCCATCCAAAAACCTCTCTGATATTCAATATTGACTTTAAAATTTCTTTCCAGGCGTCTGCCATCCAACCAAAAGTTCCACATCCAGCAATGCCCCCAAACACAATCCAAGTGTCTATCCAAATGTGGTTTTGGAAGTCTTTTATTGTTAAGTATTTCCATTGAGTCGGTTGAGTACATCCTTGTCTATACGCCTTTTGCCAATCCACAATTTCTAACATTAAAGTTACTCCTAATAATGTCTTGAAATGATTTTTGACCAACTTAAAATCATCCCATGTTGTCTTGGCATCATTTTTATTTACAAAGGAATTAACCGATGGAATTTGTTTTTCTAATTTTTCATAATGTAAGTTCTTCATAATTGCCTTTGCACCGTCCAAGTGATTTTCATCTTTGTCTTCTGAATCACTCTCTTCATCTTTGTGTCCTTCTTTTTTTCTCTGTGTTTTCTTTGTTTCTCGGATACAACAAGTCATTGATCATACACAAAGAACCATCATTATTAACCACACTGCCCATAGGATTAGATCTAAAAAAAATTCCCAACACCTGAATACTTCTTTGTGAGTAAATGGGCCTAGAATTTTCCCTTGCCTATGTTCTTTAAATAAATTCTTCATAATCATATCTTTTACTGCCAAAGCTGATTTATGATTAGTTGGTGTACACCATTTCATACTCTTAATCATGTGCTTAGGAATACCTTGACTAAAAACTTCTGTAAGTCCTATCCAGGTCTTATTCCATTTTTCAAATAAGTTGCATTCTTCGAACAACACTGTCCATTCACCTAGATTCATGTCATTCTTTGCTTCTCTTGGCAAATTTCTTAACTGATTGGGATCATTCACTTTATGTATATCCTGTGGTTCTAGTTGTGCATTTGACAAACTCTTCAACAATTTAGACACTTGTATTTCATTTACTGTCACCTCATTGTTTCTATCATCCATCAAACAGAAAAACAATTCATTTGCCTGATTACAAACGTCACCAACATCATGTCAAACACAACAAGATTATTAGGAAATTAGAGGAGCAAACAAAAATTTGGACAACATAATTCAGTGCAAAAGTGACATTTTAAGGTATTGTCATCGTTTCTCTCATCTCACAAACACAAAAATAGAAAGAAAGGATTTTTTTCAAATAGTTTTGTATAAAGTTTCTTTTTTTCAACTTACTGATTATTTTGACTACCAGGAGTACTTATTTTGGGACTGGCAGTCGGTTCAATTGCTAACCTATTGAAACCGCCTTGTCCGATGGCTGGACCACCTCCATTTCCTGGAATAAAACCTCCTCTTCCACAACCTCTTCTATTATTACCAGATCCTCTGTTTGGATCAGAGTGGAAATTGTTTGGTTGGTGAAAGTTTGGTTGATGAAAAGTTGGTTGGTGAAACTTAGGTTGACTATGATAATGATTCACATGATGTTGATTATTTGGCTGATTATCTGCATGCTGATACGGATGATTTCGTGCTTGCTTTTTCTTTTTGTGATATAAAGGGTCAAATTTGGTTCCTAAATACGGTCTTGGTTGTCTATGTGTCCCACTACTGGAACCTGGTATTGGTGCGTTATGAGTATCTTGATTTCCCCATATTCCGACTCCTCTACCTGTCAATATGTTGGTGTGGTTATCAATAGTTGTTCCAGTTGTATCCCAAGTAGGGTTAAAGGAACCATCTAGTGGGTTGGTGTTCTGCATTGGAGCACCAAAGACAAATGTATTGTCCATGTAACTTTTGATAACAAAGACAAAAGAGGAACACATGTCAGATCTGGAGTTTTTAATATCATCTTTTGGAACATCAGGTATTGTTTCTTACTCGTAATCACCGTTAATTCTTTGCATCTTGTTCAGATTGCTCAGCTAGTCTCTTGTTCAATTTTCCTACATCTGCCATAGCTCCGCTTGCCGAACAATTCTCCCATATATTCCTTTGATGGGAAAGATCATACCTCATTGCTGGGGTCCATTTCCCATCACAATCAATCTTGATTTGTAAGACATTTTCTTTATGCACTAACAATGTTGGAACTATAGGAGAATTTTTCTGACTTTCTAATTTATCATATCTATCTTGATATTTCAACATTAAATTGTAACGTACAGTCCATTCCGCAAAACTTAATCTAAATTCATTCAATCCCGGATAACCATTTTAAATTAAAGTATCAGATTAACAGGTAGTTGATTTAATTCTTTTTGTTCTCATATATGAACTGTCTTGGAGAATCCACTTTGGGCAAAAAATTGAGACTGGTATGTGCATATTCTTGTCAATCCTTAAATTGTGAAAATAGTCTGATAGACCGGTCATGTTATGTCCTAAATCTTCTCCTTCTTCCATAGTAGTGTTGAATTCTGGTTTTATTTTTGCTAATTCTTTAGATTTTTCTGTGACAACACTTGTGGTTGGTGTAATCTCTGCTTTAAGATCAAAATCACCTAACAATACTTCTCCGACCGGAGTCTTATTTTTAGTACACCATTTTTTGTATTCTTCACGGACTACCCAATATTGTGGAATCATCCCTTGTTCTAAAGTTTTTTGAATATTATGTAACCATTTTTGATGAGATATTTCAATGAGATCTGGTTTGGGCATGCTTTCAATCACTCTCCCTGTTATCACCACATCAACACAAACAGACAGAACACTTTTGGTAAGTTTACTTGTTTTGCCCTTTTTTGAGCACATCTTTCAACACAAGCTCTTTTTTTTCCTTTCCTTTGGTATATCATTATAACACAAGCTGATCATTCCCTTTGGTTTTGGTTTTGGTTGGTCTTTTTTAACACAATTTTATTATTTAGGATATCCCCTGATTTCAAAGTAAGATTCTTAATCATTACTTATTAACAAAGAAACAGATGCAGTCCAATTGATAGAAAGATCCAATAGGTATGTAGATGATTAAAAGGGGACTAGGAAAGCAATTGTTCAAAACCCTTTTTCTGGATTGGGGAATCTTTGGATCTAAAATTCCAAAGAAGTATGATTGAAATAAATAAAACAAACCAAAGTTGAAATTCCACTAACCTCTACCTGATAGTATGCCTATATCTTCTATTTCTTCTTTGTTTATCATGATGACTTCTTTTTGACCTTTCAATTAACTCCAACATGTCCTTCAGTTTGATTAGCACTTCCTCCACCTTGATTATTTTTGGTGTTTGTGATTTGTTTGGTATCTTCATTCACTCCATTATCTTTTTCTTTTGAATTGTTGTCTTCACATTCATCTTCCCCTTCTTTCTCTTTACCACCTTTCTTAATACTTTTGTTTCCTCCCAAATTTTCTTCACTATTTTCAACTGACAATTCTCCTTTCTTTGCTTTTGCTCCAGCTCTAGTACATGTTTTAGGTTGAGAAGGTTCTTGGGGAGTTGACGCTTGTCCAGTGGATACTTCTTTTGGATTTACGGTTTGATTACCGACATCATCTGTGAATTCTGAGCCAACATTATATAGGAGGTTATGACTTAAGTCCTTGAAACAAGATATGATGGAAGGTAGAAAAGGGAATTTTATAAAATGAAAAAGGGAAAGTAAAAAGGGGAGATTTCTTCTTTATATAATTCTTCTATGTTTGTTGATAATCTAATTGGAAGATAATAATTTCTTATTCTTGGGTATTTATAATCTAATGATGTTATAAAGAAAAATTAAACAAAGAAGATTGTTCCCCAATGTTGATTCTTACTACTAAGAGGAGGGTAAGTTTTCATATGAAATGTGTAGCGTAATGTTGAGGAAGAAGAAATTTTGGTTTTTCTTATTTCAAATCTTTCACTGGGAAATTGTGTTTCCTCCCGGTACCAAATTCTTTTTTGTACCGGGTCCACATGCCCAACATTCATCTTCTAAAATTTATGGAACTATACGGGTACCATTGTGCCTTCATGAGCACTGGTAACATAGAGTGTGGTGTATGAGTCAATTAAAGAATTGTTTCATCAATCAAAGGAAATTCATTTGATGTACAATCAGTCTATGAAATATGATCAGATCTCATATTGAATGAACTTACTTTTCAAAGATATACTCCATGGTAAAGAGAACGGACAAGCTTGGATGTCAGTGTGTTCTCAGCATGACAATTGATGACCTCTGCTTCCTTTTCCATTGTCATGTGTTCTTGAAGTTTGCCACTCCTTCAAAGGTGAGCCTTAATGATATCAAAATATTTCTCAATTGGATTGAACTCAGGGCCATATGTGGGTAAGTAAAGTAATTGTACACCAAGTTGATAACACAGTTCTTGAACATTGCCACCATGATGAACCGGTGCATTGTCCAAAACAAAGACACTGTTTTCAGTGGGGTAAGGATTTGTCTTAGGAAGCTGGTATGGAAGACAAGATATATCAGATTATTATCAAAGATAGAGATAATGTGATGATTTGAACCTTCCTGAATGATCATCCCAAGACAGCCACTCAAACAGATGGCAGGGAGTAACAAGTACTTTCTTGATTGAAGAGTACGAGGTAGGTGTCATGTATGTTAGCCTCTTGGTGCACAAGCTTTCTGTTGGTAAAGTCTGCAAGCTGCCACAGCACTTTCATCTGTTCAAACCCAAGTCAGCTCAGAGTTGAAGAACAAAAGGGAAGAAAACTTACCAATGACGGTGTGGTAATCAAAATATGAGACCAATCAAAAAAATCAAAAAAAATCGAATTTTGAATTACATCAATTATATTACATATAGTTTAATATTTACATCATTTTATCATTCAAACAAACTTATCAAGATAAGTATAAACTATTAACAAACAGATTACAAAAAGAAAGAAAGAAAAAAACATAAGAAAAACTCGAAAATAGAGGTATACAGGTTGGAAATGGTTTTTAGGGTAGTAATATTAGGTTTATGGGTTTAGTAGGGTTGGAATACGAAAGAGGAGCATTGTTTTAGTCAGCAACAACTTTAATCTTGGTGGTTGATAAGAGAAAATAGAAGTTATTAAGGAAATGGGAAAAAGTTGAAATTGGTAAACAAGGGTTTACAGGTAGTTTTACATATGTAACAGTAGTATTAGTAATGAATAAAGTTGCCAAGGGTGTTTTTAGGGATTTTCACGGTTGGAGATTACTGTGTAATGTTACAGAAGGCAAGAAAGGCTTAGTAAAAGGTGTGAAAAGTGAAGAAAATAGGTGAAAATCGTCGAAAATGGAGGTTTTCAGCTGATTACATGTGTCAAATGACGTCAGAACATGATAAGTAATAGCTCATTCGACGCAGAATCATCAAATTCATAATGTACAATCTTTAAATCATTAGTAACAGAGGTGTATGACAAAAGTTATAAGGAATCAAAGGATTTGATTACACATCAACAAGATCACAAATCATTAATAACAAGCAATTACATCATTGAAATGCTGAATCATCATAAGATCAAATCAATATTCATTCTAGAACATTCATAACACAGCATATACACAGCATATACACAGCATTTGATCATAAGAATAGAGATTAGTCATGTTTTACTGGTCAAATTAGTAATAAATCTTATCAGATGATGAATAGAAGATCACATTACATCATAATAATGATCATAAAGGGTTGATGAGGTACTGATGGCGAAATTTAGGAATGTAGAGAGTGGTTGAATGATTGGATCAAAGCTGTTTACCAGCATTTTAGTCATCTTTTGGTTTTTTAGATGGTAAAGAGGATTTTTTAAGAGCTGTTTACCACTTTAACAATTTGTATTGATGTGTTCATAAACTTGTGTCTTTTGTGCGAAATTATGTTTCCTTTCTTCTTCATCTCTTACATAGCATTAATCATTTTTATCATTATAAACTTATTAGAGCAGTACTAGGTCACTCAAATCAGCCCTTCATCAGAAGAGAAATTTGTTTTATGTGCTTTATATGACACTGTCATTCTGGAATAATATCAAAAAGATATTGAGCTTATTTTTCAACATTTTGACTCGACTGGAATAACACTTTAAATGTGTTGAGCTTATTTCTCTGGTGCTTTTTATCAAGATACTTTTCTCTTATTATCAAAGACCTGGTTATATTTCTCTGTTATCAGGAGACTTTAACAACAAAGTCCAGTTTGTTAAAGATTCTCAGAAAGAGCAGTCTCAGACACCTTCTTTAGATCTATTATATCTTCAGATTATCCTCTTTCAAAGCACTGTATAGCCCTTGTTGTGCTATAAGTACTACAACGGCCAAGCACGATGGATCAAGTGATCCAACTTCATACAGATACCTGCCTACTTCTTCTGGGTCTTGATTTGGGTGGACAGTTTTTGCCACCTTCAAGGTTAGACCAATATGATCACGTACCTCACAAGCTAAAGTAGTGATGGAGACGCCTATACTTCTCTCAATTGAAAGTTGGTGTGCAAGCTTTTCAAGGTAGATAGTTGGTTCAGTATCAATGGTGTTCTCAATAAACCTGTGGTGCTCGTCAATAAGACAGTTGCCTGGCCACAAGGATCATAGAACCCTGGATCTGAAATGACTTGCCGAGTATGGTTGAATAAAGCTAGCCATCAAACAAGTGAGTCTTTGAAGACTTTCAGTGTAAGATTCTGATTGATTTTGCCTAGTGTCTGTCCACGGAGATGCTTGCGGATGACAATGAGTTTGATATTGGGCAAGTACAAGACAAACCTGTTGAAACTGTCAGACTAGGGAATGTTTGAGTTCAGAACAGAACCTATGAACAATCAAAGTTCCCATGAATCTGAGTTTAACTCACCTTCACACCCAAGAATGATTAGAATATCTTTGATCAGTTTTATTTGCATCACATCAAATAAAAAGAAAACAAAGATATGAAATAATAAGAAAACAAATTTAACTACATACCTGTCAGAGCAGGGAATGATTGAGTTCAGAACAGAACCTATGAACAATCAAAGTTCCCACGAATCTGAGTTTAACTCACCTTCACACCCAAGAATGATAAGAATATCTTGGATGCAGAAGGGAGACTCAGCTTTGCTGCTCTTTGAGGTTTATCATTAGACTTCTTAATGGTAATTAGGTTAATAATGATGACAGACAGTACATAATCGTAACACATGAAACATGGCTACATAATTAATAACAAAAGTAAAAATGAGATATGAAATAATAGACTTAATAGTCAAGATCAATTATGTTAAGATAAGAAAAACATAACAAAGATTACACTATACTTTAACAAAGCCCCATTGTGGTTGGTGAGGAAGCCTATAGACAAAAAAAAGAACAAAAGAATCAGAACGTACAACAGGTGACCTGGGACATTTGAGAGCAAAAACCAACCTGGAGAACAAGCCAATATCACAATTTGATCGAGAGAATGAGGAGCTAGGGAAACAATACAATTGGTGGATTGGCTGGCATTGTGGTATGATTGTATGTGTATTGTCAATTTCTTACGGGCAATAATAGGTAAAGTAAAACCCTAACAGCCCTCAACTGCCCAAAAAAGGAAATTCAAAAAAGCAACCTTTTTGGGGACGGCTGTACATGCATATATGCAGCTTTGAGTACCATATTTTAATCAAAACGCACACATGATACTTTCCCCTTCATTCATCATGGCATTCACATACAGCCCTTTGTATGATTGATGACTTTGGAGAAAAAACAACCTCAAGTTTTCAACAAAAAAAACCTTGAGTTTTTTCAAAAAGTGACTGAGTTCACTTCAAAAACCTACTGAGTTTTTCAAAGAAAAACTCATTGACTTCTTCAAAAGCTCAGTAGTCTTTTGAAAAAACTCAAGGTTTTTTTGGTGAAAACTCAAGGTACTTTTTTGTTCAAAGTCATCAATGATGCAAAGGGCTATAAGTCTGACTGAAGAAAAAAAGATATAGACACCATGATCCCAGAGGGGATCAAACCCTCGACATACTGCGCATCAACATGTAAAGCAGGCATTCTACCACTGAATTATGGAACCCATGCAAGAAAGTGGGTATGTATGACATTGTCCCGCGGCGTAGATGATGCTACACTCTTCAGGCCTCAGTAGGAGTTGGGAAATATTCTGACCAACCAGTTTTGGGCCTCTGAGAAGCCTAGCAACAGCAGTCAAAGATGGTGGAGAACAAGTTTTATGGGTTTCACACATCTGTTACGGATCTGAGCTCAGAGCCAAGAGTGTTCAGGCGATACCCAGGCAAGCTTTTGCCTGAAGAGAAGGGTTAGGAGATCTGTAAAAGGTGCGAAAATGGTGTTTGCATGGCTTGTACTACAAGCCCAGTGGCACAAATCTTTTGAATGGGTGAAGCTTTGGACTTCTGAAGAAGCACTTTGTACCGGTCTATATTTTTGCAAAGCAAAAAGACGGATCACAATGTTGGTTAGTGGTGAGTAGCTTTGGTATTGCTTTTGAGCAATCTCAAAAGCATTCCTAAATATTTGAACTGCAATTGAAGTGCTTTTGGAAACCGGTTGGTCGAAAATTTTCCCAACCCCTAGTGATGCTGTCCACAACCAAAAGCAAGCTATGTATGCTCAAATGAGTTGAATGATTTTTTTGGAAACTTTTCAAGAGAGGCAAAGAAGGGAGCATTCAAGGATCATTGTAAATGAGCAAAAGTGTCCGGCCAAAAATCTACACATACATAATAGCCTATACAGAAGTTGTCCCAGAGGTACAGCATAGTTAAATACTACAAGCCACCTGCAGGTCCTTCAAAGTTCAAGCCACACTTGATTTCTCTGAGACTCTAGGACCACAGTCGTCAGTATAAACCCAAGCATTAGGGTACATGGAGACCTGCTTGGACATCACCAATCTTTTACCTTTACTTTTTTGACACCTGTTTTTTGAGGTCTCACACTCTTGAAACCACCACCAAACCTCTATGGAACACTACGTGCAAAGACTACACATCACTACTCACCACCAACTCCTTACAAATCACTTCCTCTACCAATTGTTGGAGAACTTGGTGACTTAAGTTGTCCTCTGTGTCCATTTTGCGGATGGGCAAAGCTACAGTATCAACCCCCACACACACATTAAAGGCTACAAGCATTGCATGGAAGTTCAGTCTGTCAAATTTTATTCACTCATCATTCTCATCATTGTGTTACTGATGATTTGTGTGTTTTACAGTGTAATAAATCTCAGAGGCATTTAGACAACAAAGGCTACATACAAACCCTTGGCCTTGAAAATCTTGTATGGAAAATCCAAGACAAAAATCCAGAGTTTTAGCTTGCTTCCCTTCCCCAAAGTTTGGCTGTAATTGTCTCTATTCCAGATATCAATGCAGACACAAGGACTGTTGCCTCTAGCAAGCCAAAGCTGTGTGAGAATTCAATAGTCAATTTGGTTAAACACACCAGGCAACTTTGTATGGCAGAAAGTATATGTCACCCTGTAGTGATCTTTTGGCCCCAAGGGTGTTGTATCTTTTCTGTGTCTACTTGTACTTATCAACTATGCATATCAGTAATTTTCTCTTTTTTATATCATCATTTTTGATTATTCCACAATCTGACAGCATCTATGTTCTTCCATCTCAAGTGTTGTAACATTTCTCAAAGTCAAGGTCAATCGTTTTGGTAATTAGTCACTTCTCACCAATCCCAACCTGTGATTTAATCTAAGGGACTTGAATCCAACAATCCAATATCAACAAATACCCCTATACCTGCTCCTATGACTCCACACCAACCTTCCTAGTTACAGTCAGCTCTGACTGCCAAATGGTTGCAGTTGCAGTTGGCTGAGTATCACAGAAAGGACATTGATAGGCTGCCATATATACACATTCAATTGGCCAAAGGAAACAGATGTGAAGACTCATGATTGAGTTCTGCACCAAGGTGAGCAATGTTTCAAACTTAGATCTTTATTTCTATGTTGTGTATTTGTATTTTAAATTTCATAACTATTTTCTGACTATGTGATTGATCATCATGATTAGGCTGGTGAAAGCAGTTTTATTTTGCTATCTTCAAGCCACTGGTCTTTCTTTGCACTTGAATAGGGTATGCTGTTTTCATTTGAGGGTCATAATGCAAGAGTCAATGGTGATGGATTGGAATGCATCATCCAAGCAATGGGTTTGTATTTTGACACTCATATACAAGGTCAAAATCACTACACAATGGATAGTGGTAGTGTTGTGAAAGTGCTGTGGCACTATACTCTGAAAAGTCAGTTTTTGTGATAGTGGTTGATGCACCACCCTATACAAAAGGCCAAAATTTTGGTAGTGGTATGTTCACTACACTCAGAATTTTTGGCAGCGTGGCCACACATATAGTGGCCCCCATAGTGTACTGTCATCTTTGTGCTGTTCTGAGACCACCTGTTTGTGTCAGAGGTTATTTTTGGAGCAGCAGATGTCTGTGGGCCTGGTCAAACAACATTGGAAAGTGCAACCATTGAAAAACTTACTTCATTTCCTGAATGGATGAAGGCAGGTCGTAATGTTCCCAGAGAGTTTTGTGAGGCCTTTGCGTTGATTGTGGATATGTAAACAACAAAGTGATCCTTCCATCTTTCTACATCTTTTTTCTTTGTTATTTCTATACACTTATTCCTCATTCAACTTATCTGATTCTTCAAGCTCAAAACTTTCTTCAATATGTAGCTTGGCTATTTTATCTTATTCTTTTCTCATCTCACTCCTTTCCCCTTGCTTTACAACTCTCTTTAAAATTAATGGTTCTTTGCACATATGTTCTACGTACTTCACTACATGCCTTTTGATAAATTTCTTTGTTTGTATTTCAAAAACACTAGAGAACATGCGGGTATGCCCGCAACAGGGGAACTCTTATATTTATCCAACAAGGCATTCAATGATCCAACTGGCCATATTAATATGCACCATGTCCATTTCCGAGTGGCACATAGACGTGCACACACAAGAGTGTTTTCTTAGATTGTTTTTTGAGTCAGTGAAGAGTTTGGGAACCCTTCAGGTTCCAATCCCTTTGGTTGACCAACTGAAAAATACAGTTCACTACATTCATACCCTTTTCCAAAAAAATAAGAACTTCAAAACTTGCCTCTCCTCATAATCATCAAGTGACAAACACTCAAGATCTAAAATTGACTTATGTGCACCCAAATGATATTCAATCCTGTGATGTTTCTGTTTCACTCATACATAACTTGAATAGATTCTGATTGTGATATGATTCGAACAACATGACCCAGATTTTGGTCTGCTTTTCATTTAATAGCTTGTCCAGATAGATATATTGAGAAAAATACAAGTCATGTATGTGTTTTCATCATTATCAATTATATCTCTCGATCAAGCTTATCTACATGGTGAAGGAACTGGAGAAAACCATCAAATCTTTGTACAATTGACAATTCAAAGTAAAAGCAAACTGGTTAGTTGAAGAAGACAGAAAAACTTTCAGTGTTGGATGAGACACAATAAACAAAACAATGAAAGGATCGTGTCAGTTAAAGCAATTGATGTGAACAATTAAAATCAATGCAACCCAAATCAAATTGATAGAGAAATTATCAGAGGATACTTATTTCAATTCATATATGTATTCATAAGTTCAAGCTTCAAGTTTGAATTCTCTTTGATTCTTGATGATATAGATTTTTCAAATTGATTACTATTGATTTGAATGGATCTACATCTTTATATGTACAAGAACAAAGAAAGTGGTTGTACAGGTATCAAAAATTGTCAAAACAACAAAGGAGTGCAGAGAAATGTTTATGCAAGTGGGGATGGATCTGTGATGTGGATATTGAGTGTTGATGCAGGATATTTTTGGACACACGGAGTGGGTGAAGAATGAGGAATGAACTGTGATTCAGAGGCCATTTATATATGTGACAATCCAATAAAAGTTGTTATTGAAACTGACGACATTTGGAGCAGCCATGGGAGAAGGTTGTAATGTAAGACTGAAAGCAGATGTGGCGAGTCAGAAAAGCTGCATCTTGGAACTGAGGACACTTTGCGGCAACCAAGGGAAGAAGTTTCAATGGACCATTGAAGGGAGGACACGACCAAGGAAATGAGGGGCAATAGAGTACTATGATTATAAGGCAATAGAACGGCAACTTATGAGAAAAAGCATCCACAAAAGGATCAGGAGGCGAAGCAAGACAAACAGAGAAATAAAAGCAGCCACAAAAGGTGCAGACAAGAACAAACAGATTAAAAGCATGAAAAGTGGGCAAAGCGTGTAAACATTTGAAAAGCAAAAATGAAAAGAGACGTGGGGCAAAAAGAACCGGACCCAAGAGAACAAACAAACCATACTGAACGGTCCTTCATGCGAGTCAGTTCGACGTATTTATATTTTAGATGTGCACTATTATAGTGCTAGTGATACAATATCACAGTGAGTGTTAGTGACCGATACACACCACTACATACAATCCATAGCGGGTGTCTGCAAATAGTGATGTGTATTGGTTCTTTAAAATAGTGGTGCACCACATCACTACTGAGGACCCGTCATATAGCTGTGCATAGTGAAGTGATTTTGACCTTGTCATATAGCTCTTGCATGCACACACTGACCACTTATATATGTACTCTTCAGGTCTGGATTCCTTCATCTGATACTGTCCATTCCCTAACTTGCTGAGTAAGTTTGGTGTGAGTCTTAGACGTCCTGAGACCTCTTCAGGTCTCAACGTCTCGTGATGGTTTGTGTGGGTTTGAACAACCCATTGTATTGCCTCTCTTTGCCTTAGTCAAGAGGGCAGGTACGGCGGGGTGAAGGCCCCGGCCCAAAGGTCTCGGTTCACTGACACCAAGCATGCCTTTGATCCGTGTCCTCCTGGGTTGGTGGGTGGGTTGTTCATGTGCACATTGGGTGGGGGGGTGGTGCACAAAAGTTGGATCACTAAATGGGATCTTAAGAACAATCTTGCTGATGACAATTTGTGTGAGATTTGTTGGCTGAGTAAAATCTCAAGTGGTGGCGCAACATCTGCTCCAGATGCTGGAGCTGAGATTTCACTGGCCACATGTCACGCCTTGTTGCAAGGTGTCATGGACGTTGGAACCACCTGTGTTATGGTGGTTCCTCTCAAGGCATATCCTGAAGTACCTTGTAAACTTCTTGTTTGACTAAGTGCGGTAAATGAAGATACATAATCAACGGAAGATTGGTATGAATCTCTCTCAAATGCCATTTTCATGGACTATATCACCAGCAAAGAGATGTCCAACTCAACTTCAGACCACTGGGTCTCAAAATCAACAAACACCACCTGTCCCTCTGCATGTAATAAATGGACTTTAAATGACCTTTAAACAGGTAGAACAATGTTCTCAGTCCCGTGTTGACAAGAGACCGCTGAGACTAAGACAAACAGGAGCACACACCCACTGACCCAAATATTAATAGAAAGAAAAGAATAGATTGAACAATAAAGTTGAACTGATTGATAGCATGTTGAGTCAAGATTAGCAAAAGATACAATGGAGATAAAGGAATGTGACTCACCCTCTTAATTGGATTGTTGAATCCTATTATAATTGATAAGGAACGAGAGAGTCAGGTATATATGAAAACAATAAGATTCGAAGAAGAGAAAATACAGAATCCCCTGGCTACCAACTGACAATCTTGACTCCTTGTATCTCACTACTTGTCTTTAAGTATTTTACCCAAATTGGCAAAGACTTGGCCGTCACAATAACATCATAATCCAACACTGCAATGGTCTCTTTCCCCTCCCAAATCCCCAGCTTGCTAAACACCCTCTGACCTGTACAGTCCTCCAATTGAATCAGATTTTATATCTGTGAGTTCTAGCAACCATTGCAACCCAAATGACAAAATCAAAACAAAACCAAAGGAATGTTTGAAATTTCTGCTTGCTAATATGATTTTACTTTCAGCTGTTGTGCAAATGGCCTGATATCAAGGTGCCAATTTCACAAGCATTTAAATGGTATTGAAACATATTTACAACTAAACATATATCTCAAGCTTGGGATTCAAATTGTGGTAAGACTTACCAATACAAACAGTTCACTGCCTACCAAGTCAATATTTTTATTGTGGGTGCTATGAACTTGAGTGAGGCCATCAAAGATACACCTCTGATCATGTTGAAATATGCGCACAAGACTTATGCTGAAGAGTGGAAGCAAGCTAGGGAGATTAAGAAGAAGTATTGTTGTACAAATGAGGTGGGGAAAGAAAAGCAATGTGGGGATTAAGGATCAACTTTTGGTAGAAAGGGAATGTGACACAATGAAACATTGGCTAGAAGCTCTGATGTAGAGGTGGCAGCTTATTAGTCCATATATAATTTTATTTCCCACAATTCTATCCCACATTATCTTAATCTCTGATTAGTACTTGTTTTAATGTCCAGATCCTTTAGATGTCCTTAATATGGGCTTTCAATCAATATGATCTTCCAAAAACTGATCATTATCTCTTTTAATCCAATCAAATCCAGTCAGTCAGTCAGCAAGTTCAATATCTTGCTACTTTAAGTTTTGATAAGCACCTTCTTTTTGATGCAGATGATCATACCTTTAACAAGATAGGCTTTTTGAGAGCCTAGGTGAATGTGTTATGATGCTTGGTTTTATAATTGTTTTCTAAAGTAAAAAATTTAATATCAACTGGTCACAGGATTGTTTGAAAAATTTGATGTTAGATTGTTTTGCAAAAGTTTGATGTCAGATTTTTTTGCACTGATGATCAAGAAAGCATATCCCCCAAATGACCAATGTGCTGCTGTCTCTCTAGATTTTCAGACAGCCAAATGTCATGTACCTTAATCATCTCATCAAGGAAAAAATTATACTGCACTTCTGTCATGTTCCTGCACATGGAAGCAAAACCCCATACCAGATGTTAGTCAACTCTTCAGCAAATGAATTGAAGATCTTACTTCCTTGATCCTTTAATTGTGGATGTAAGTTTGGTTCTGTCCATTTCCTAAAGAAACACTTGGATTGATTGTGTGATTTGAAGTAAAATACATCAACTGCAGCAACAGACTCTCAAAATCTCTTCTGTTTACTATTCTCAGATTTATACATGTGTTTCAAGAGATTGCATGCATTGTCATAGAAGATCAAATGAGGTATTTTAATATTTGTGAATATGTCCATGAGGAAAAGCCATTGAACCCCAAAACAATTGTAAATATAGTATAGGTCTATTCTGAGAGAAAAACTTATGACATACTCTTAAAGCACTTGGTGATTCAGAATGAAACATGGTCTGACTCTCCAATGCAACACCACAAGCCCCTGCAATGATCTGGTCATTGTGCATCTTTGCTCTTGATAGCTGCTTGGGAGCAGAGCCTTTGCTTAAAAACACACCCTCACACCCCTTTTTGTCATACCTGACAGCTTCCTTTGCACATTGAATATCATCATAGTCTTGAAGCTCTATTTTGATGAACCATTCAATCAAATTTTAGATCTGATTTGGGGTGATTGAGCATCAGGTGAAGCTGGAAGTTACCCTCTTGATAGAAATCCTTAGCTACTTCAATGAGTAAATCAACCAATTTTTGTCCCTTGAACTGATGGTTTTGTGCAGAGTTGAGCCTCACATTGCTTCTGCAAGAGCTGGCAGTGTGTGCTACAACAGTGTGAGCGGAAATTGTCAAGTGAGCTAAGGTATGTGTCATTTGCAGGAGAATCAACTGCCTCCATTGTGATATGTTCAAGTTGAGCATGAGAAGCACTTCAGCACCAATGTCCAAGGGTGCCATTGTCAGTAACTATAGCATGGGTCACCACACAAAGCGAATTGACCCAATTTAATCAGTTCAGAGTTTAATGAAACATCATTCAAAAATAAACATCCTTACATACCTGGGTATTCATCTGACAGCTTGCAGTGAGTAATAGAGGTGCATCTTCCACATGAATGGTTCTTGTGGCTGAAACCATTTGCTCTGACATACAGTGTATGGGCTTTTTTGCTTCATCATATTGAGTAGCATTGAGTCCATCTGCAGGAACCACAAGTTTATGAGAGTGGGCAGAGAAGTGAAGTAACAAAGTGTGGAGATATATTTCATCTTTACATACAGCTGCAGATAGAGCCAGAGAAAGATTCTGAGTAGGAGATGATAAAGGAAAAGGGCAAGGAGCAATATGTGTGTCATTGTAGAAGCTGACTATACTGAAGATTGATGAGCTGTGGAATCCGTTTCAAAATTTAGAAATAAGGCATCAGATTGAATACATGTTCAATCAAAACCTTGGCCACTCACTGCTGCAGAACTAGAGACATATCAAAGTGATGGGCTAAGTGATCTGTCATGAAGTAGTGCTTATGAGCTTCAAATATCTAATCATGTTGGCCTTAAGAGCTTGTGTAGACTCACAGGTGTCTTTTTTGTTTGTTTACATAGTATCTGGGGCTGTAAGTCTTCTTACAATCTGGATTTAAAATTATAGCTCAGTATGGTACAACAATCAAGCTACAAAAGCTTGACTCACATTGGTAATGGAAGTAAGCAGAAAAATTTTAGACTGTCTTACAGCCATCAATATCATAAAAGCAGCCAAATAAGTGAGCCATTTCCAGTGTGTGTCCAGTCTGGAATATTGGACAGGTTTTGATGGGGGCAAAAGAAAGTGCTGTTCAATGCATACATATAGGAATCTGGCCATCATATGTTTTGGGCAGTACACCATTACTCTAACTTAACCAAGTCCCTTGATGCTGAGACAGCTGTCATTCAAGCAAGTTGAATTTGCAAGTCTCAGCATGAGGTATGTACTTACATCTAATCTCATGGTTTTGGCCTGAGGCCTGAGGATTCCTTTGCAGGGGAATTCTTGGTTCTCTCTTATGCATGAGCACACCAAGGATTTTTTTACTGCGCTTCACCGATGTCTGCACTGCCACTCTCTTCAAAATGTACAGCTTGGATGATCAAATTTCCTTGGTTGTTTTTTATTTTCACATTTTCACATGTAGCTTGCATGCAGCTCTGTAGTTCATGGACAAGTCCACAACTTAGCAGAGCTACAGGTGATCAGCTACAGGTGAAAATCACGAAATAGCAAATTATGTAGCTCAGTGAGCAACCAAGGAATCTTGATGGTTCCACCTGTACATTTGAAAAGGGGTCAGCGCGTATCACTGCAAATATAATGAATTTTTCCGAGGTGAAAAATGATTACAACATTTATTTCACAAAATGATTAAAAATGCATCAATTCTGCATTAGTTCTGCATTTTTCTGCATTAATTCTGCATTATTAATCATTTTGTGCATTAATGTCAATCATTTTTCACCTTGGAAAAGTGTATCCCCATGAAGCGTGGTAATATGTATGTTGTAAGTTCTTTGGTGAGGTCACGGAAAAGGATGAATTACCCATGCGGATTCAACTTGCTTGAATGACAGCTGTCTCAGCATCGAGGAACATAGTTGAGTTAGACCATTACTGGCAATTCTTTTGTGAGGAAGCCGAAAGATGTTTTCCATAGTAAGTTGATGGATGGAGGGTCGGAAGCAGGAAGGCTTGTCGCGAGATACTGAAGGGGCCGATTGGTTGAAGGTTGATAGTTGTAGACCATCTTTAACACGAACCACGAGATTCGAAGGGATGGAAAAGAATTGAGCGAGGTGTTTGATATCAAGTCTATCGATGAAGTTGTAAGTGATAAAGTTTGAAGTCAAAGAGAGTAAATTCGAATTTCCATTTGAAGAAACAAAAGAATTGCAGCCAAATGAAACCGATTCAGAAGATATCAGAAGACATCAGAACAAATCAAATCAAACTAACCAATCAACTAGCAATACTATGATCTCACCAATTCGATTTAAATCGATTCTCTATCTAATCTTTGTCTTCATCTTATTCTCAATCTTTTATACAATCATCATCTTAGATTCATCAAACAGAAGTTCATTAACTAATTATCTATCAAACCATTCAAACTCAATCAAATCATCTATAATACCTAATCGATTCAAATGGTCAACTTGGAATTCAAACGATTTCAATCAATTAGAAGATCATCTATTAATCAATCAAACAAACTCAAATTCAAACTCAACATCAACAACAGCCACCACCACCACTAACACTAACACTTCAAGCTCGATCATCAATCCAACCTATCATCAAAATGGTTATTATCTTTTACCAAACCAATCTAAATTCAAATCACATCCAATCCTATCCTTAATCGAAAGATCACAAAAAGAATGGAATGAAAAATTACAACGAAATTCAAAAAGCTTAGCAGAATGTATAACCGAATATAAGAGAAGATATAAAAGATCACCACCTTATGGATTTGAAAAATGGTGGGAATATGTTATTAAATCTAATGTGATTTTGAAAGATGAATATGATCAAATCGAAAAAGATTTAAAACCTTTCTTAGCCATCGAACCGAATGATTTGAATCATAGATCTTGGGTCATGTCAAATGAAAGACCTGAAACGTTTACTTTATCGATTCCAATCAAATCAAATCAAAACGTTACCATCTCAGGTCCTGAAGCTCATTTGGTTAGAGCTACTGATTTGGCTAATTTGATTAATTTGTTTGTGGATTTGTTACCTTTGGATGAACATCAATCAGTTTATAATCTTACATTTACAAAACATGATCAACCGGCTGTTCAAATGACCTATTCTCGTAAACAGAAAATGTTGGATTTAGCAGATGCAGGTGAATGTAAGTGAAAGATTCCCAATTCCCAAACATCTACATTGATTTACTTACTGATTTGGTTTTTTTTGGATCAGATCTTTCACCATCAGATTATATTAAACCAAACGATCCGAAACTAAGTAATTGGGCAAACGCATGTTCAACAAGTTCATCACTCTATCATAATGAAACTCATCAAATCACATCAGAAGAAGAAGATTTACTTAAATTACAGAAATCATTTATCTTTGATCATCCGGCTGCCATGGATCTTTGTCAACATCCTGAATCGAAATCATTACATGGTTTTACAAGTGCACCAGGTACAGATAATATTGAACTCGTTCCGCTCTTTACATTTGCAAAAACTACGTAAGTTTTTTTTCCAAACTGATCTTACCCCCTAACTTCTTGATAAGAATTGTGAACTTTTCCAAAATATTGATTTTGATTTTGGCTTTGATTTTTCGATCATCAGAACTCAAAATGATGTTTTAGTGACTCCACTAGAACAATTCAGTGATACATACATAGGTGACGATCCAAGTTGGAATTCCAAAAAACTCAACAAACTACTCTGGAGAGGATCTACAACCGGTGCCGAATTTATGAAAGGCATCGATTGGAAATCATCACAACGATCACGATTACATTTCATAAGTCATGAAAACAAGATCACGAACCAACCAGATCGATTAAAAGTTTTAGTCGAAGATTCCAAGACCAAAGAAGTGAATGTGTTGGATCGAGAACTTAAAAGGTTAAATGATCGGTTCATGGATACTAGCTTTAGTGGTGGTCCGGTTCAGTGTGATCCGGAAACGTGTGATTATATGAGATCTCATATTCAGTTTGCTCATACGATGGGATTAGATGAATCTTATCAAGTTGAGTGATTGGTTTATAATCCTATTTAGGAAATCTCATCGAAACCTTGAAATTTAAATTGGATCTTGACTGAAATTTGATGTTTCTCGGGTGATTTAGTATAAATATTTAATCGATTTAGATGGTGTAATTTGTTTCTGTTTTCTTTCTAAATCTTATGAAAAACTTTAACTGATCTGATTTGAATGGGCGCTGTATTTTTATATAGAATGGTTGGTCAGGTCGGTTTCATAGGTTAATGTCAACTAAATCATTAGTTCTTAAATCCACTATCTTTCCAGAATGGTATGCAGATAGAGTTCAACCTTGGGTACAGTTAAGTATTGAGTTCATCTGATCATATTTCAAACTATCTTTAAACGTCAATCCAAACTCATGAAGAAAACAACTCAAATCTCATGTTTTTTTTTCCTTAGTTATGTTCCTATTAAAGTAGATTATTCAGAGTTCAGTTCTTTTTCTTTTTATAAGATTAGATTGAATGACACCTAAGATTGAAAAATTGATTTTTCTTGTTGATTTTGATTTTGGGGTCTTTTTTATAGTTTGTATGATGTTATGGTTTTCTTTTTAGGTGATGAAAATCAAGATCCAAATTTAAAAGAGATCAAAAAAGGACACGATGACTTAGCAGAAAAGATTGCAACGGATGGTAAAAGATGGGCAGCTGAACATTGGAGAAGAGAAGATATGGTAAGCCGCCCAAAAAAAACCCTCAAATTGGTTTTGTTGTTTTCATTCTCTTTTTTTTTGGAAGAATTTCTTAATGAACAAGAAGCAAAAGATTTACAAATTGGTTTGATATTTTACTTTTTTTTTCGTAGGCTGCTTATATGTTTAGATTGGTTTTGGAATGGAGAAGGATCATGTTACGGGGTCAAGCTGGGGTTAAATTAGATTATGGGTAAGTTTGTGATTTGATTTCTTTCAAACCAAACTGGTTGAAATTCATCTTAAATACGTAACATCAATCAAAATACGTAAGATTAATCAATTGGTGTTTTTTTTCGATTTCTAGTGAATGAGGCAAAGGATTTGTTTGGTTGGTTTGTACATCTATATTGGATTAGGATCTTTACGTTTTTCTTTTACATATACTTGTGATTTGTTATCATCGTTCTTGATTGTTGGTTGTTGGTTGATTGTTGTTGTTGTTGTTGTTGTTGTTGTTGTTGTTGTTGTTGTTGTTGTTGTTGTCAATTGGTTGTTGTTGTTGTTGAGTTGTTGTTGTTTTCAAAATAAAGAAAAGTTGAATCATGATTTGTTGAACTTGTAGGATTTTTTCGATCTAGATTTGGATATTGATTTTTTTTGGTTTTGGTTTTGTCTTTCAAATTCAAATTGGATTTCTTTCTCAATATAAATAGAAGTTTTTTGTTCTGAAAGAGTTTTTTTCTACTTTGAACTTGTGTAAAGAAAGATTTAAATGGTACTAGGTTCAAGAGATGGATCAAATTTGGGAAACGTTTTTTTTCTTTTGGTAAGGAAAGCGTAATGAAGGATTTAGTGGTAATGGTCTTCTATAGTGATGGATTGGTCATGGTGATATATACAAGTTAATTCCAAGCTAATGTGCAGAAAAAAGATGAATAAGTAAGGAAAAGAACGTTATGAGCGAATTTGTTTTGAATAACAAGCAAGCACACATAACGGCTAGGATAGGAGACACGTATTACTACTGATCAATGGGACTGGGTCGGGAGAGGGTTCTTGGAGAATGTACAGTCATTAACCGGGGTGATTCCACCGCATTCACTCGACTTGGATAAAGTCCACCATGACTCATTATATCAGAGTTCATGTAATGGATCATGATGTCATGACCAAGAGTTGGATGTATATAGGATGTGAAATCTCATTTTGCAATTTTCTCAATTTCTCTAAGACAAAAAATTATGAGACTATTTTTTTCATTCTTCATTCATATCATGACCCTGCAAGTCTTTCTAAGTCAAGAAATCTATCAGTAAATGAGTTTGGATCATCTACAACATACCTCCCACCCACCCAAGCTACAAATAATTTAGTATAAATCCAATAGGGGTACACAAACATCTCAACCCAACCTTAAAAACCCATCCAAAAAACCCGTGCCAACCCGATTGATTTTGAGTTTTTAGCGCTAAAAAATCCAAAAATCAATCGGGTTGCCATGGGTTTTATTAGGTCTGGTTGAGATGTTTGTGTACCGCTAATGTTTGAATTGGATATTGATTTTTCAAATTAAATGTACATCATGGTATCGTTTGCTATATGTGTGGTCAGAGAAAAAGAATTATTCTTCATTTGTATTTTGTAGGTCTTTTCAAACACTAAACCTCTTCAATTTACAACGTGTTGTTTTTTGCTGAACCAACACAGTCCAGAGCTGTTTTTTTTTTTTTTTTATAGTGCTTTTCGGCTTAATTGCATATAACACTATCTGAACAATACAGGAATTGAGGACTAGTACGCCTTTAAGAAACAGCCATCTAATCGAGAACAAGAAAAACATTGACTTTTTTGGTTTTTAGAGAAATCTTTTTGAATCAAAGGGTGTTGCTATTTAACCCTTTTTTTTTTTTTCAACAACGTTTTTTTTTAAAACCATCTCTGGGTAATTAGCCCACCTCGATGGGCCTCTACCATCCTTTCTTTTAGAAATTGGATGAAGAGTCATTAGACTCGAAAATCTGCTTGTGTACTCCTTGTATTAGAGGAACTGTCCAAGTTGATTTTAAGAGCTAGAAAAGAAACCCTCGATTGATGCCTCCCCAACCTATGAGCCCAAGACGTCGCTTGGAGGTTGACGAACCTTAAAAGGATTGAGCATAATCGGATACGTAAGAGCTGGTGTTTTAGAGTCCACTAAGACTGGGTGAAAAATGTCTCGAAAGCCTGTGGGCCCAAGACGGTACTTGGAGGCTTACGAACCCATTGAGGGATTGAACAAGTTTCGTTACGTATAGGTAGCATAGTAGTGTCTTTTGACTGGTGATTGAGATATGTCTCGGAGCCCTATGGATCCAAGACGACACTTGGAGGACTCCGAACCCATAGCGGGATTGAACATAAATCTTGAAAACGTGTTTTTTTTTCATTTTTGGGAGATTTGAAGAAATTCTAAAAACCTATGTCATCCGATTTTCTGCTTCGTGGCTGCCCTCTTAGGTTGATTGTCCTGTGTGTATGAGTGAAGATGAACAAAGCGATTAGTTTGGAGAATAAAATCAGCTATGTAGGGAAAAGCCTTAGAAGTGTCCAATAATCTATTGGCGCTATTCCAGTTCACTTTGACCTCTTCTTTCTTCAGCCAAGATCTGAGGGTCTTTCGAGCTCTTTTATATCTGTCACAGTATAAGAGAAAATGCTCAGTGGTCTCCTTTAGTCTACAATTTGGACAGAGAGGTGAATCCAAGATTTTTCGTTTGAATAAATGATCATTCAAGGGACTGTGTTTAGCCCACAGCTGGAAGATCGCCGCGGCCCCACCTTTTTCCATGCATAACAAGCCTTTTGAGATATCTTTTGCTTTGGTTCTGAAGTTGTTTTTCCCTGGAACTAGGGTCATATGTTTAATGTTGAACTGATCATTGGTTCTTCGCTTGATGCTGCCTAAGCTTGAAGGGATTGAAGTGGCGTCTGTGTTGTTCTCTGCTGCTTTCTTAGCAACCTCGTCAGCTTTCTCGTTTAGTTCTATGTCAGCATGTCCTGGTGTCCAATAGAATTGTATATTGGTGTTTGTAGGCAATTGTCTTAAGTTAGCTCGTATTTCAATTACCAGGTATTGTCCTGAGCACTGTTGTGGGGCATCGTGGATTAAGCGTAGGACTCCCTGATTATCACTGAAAATCACCAGATCTTTCAGCGGCGGTACCTGGCTTCGAAAAAGTTCATTAGCTAACAACGTGGCTTGTACTATCCCCAGGAGTTCTGCTTCATGATTTGAAAAATGCTCTTCGAACTTGATGGACAAAGGCTTGCTTGTTGATTTAGTGACTGCTGCGGCTCCTCCACCCTCTTTACTTACCGATCCATCAGTGAAGATGATCAGTGAGTTTTGGTTTTCTTCTTCTTCGACTTGTTTAGGAACTAAATCTTTGGCTTCATCTTTCGATTTGTCCAGATTGAACAGCCGCCCTAGGTTAGTTGTCCACGGCACTAGGGAATGAGCAAAAATTGTTTCTAAATCTTCTTTTGCCAGTGTTTGAAAACTGGGAAAGTCTAAGACGTCCTGAACCGGGCCTTTGTGTTTGGCCACCTTTGTCTTCAATTCATGACTGATGAAAGTATGCGTCGGATGATTATCTGGCGCTGTTAGTCTTTTGAGAAGGAAATTGTGATGTCGTTTTGCTGCTATGGTGGTAAAGGGAGTGAGGTATGCATCATGATTGAGCATATTAGTCGAGGTGCCTTTAAAGGCTCCTAAGATGATCCTAATAGCTGAGTTCTGCAACTGTGTCAGTATTTTAGAAGCCTTGGTTGAAGTTTTACCCGTCAGCCATACTACGCTGCCATAGAGTATTCTCGGAAGGAGGATGGCCATGATCAGTTTTCGAGTCTCTCTTGGCGAGAGACCTGAGTAACACTTATTCAGTCTTTGAAGTTGGTGAATTGTAAATTCGCCTACCTTTTTGACTTGTTTGAGATGATGATTGAAAAGCAGCTTTGTGTCAAACCATACTCCCAACCATTTCACCACTTGATTTGGTTGAAGTGTTACCTCACCGAACTGGAAGTTTGGTAGCTCCTTAATACGCTTGTTGGTGAAGTGGATGAGTTGAGCCTTTTTCTTATCGAAGATCGCTCCATGAGCGGAGGCCCAGTTCAGTGAACTTTCGGCTAGTTGGCAGAGGCTCCGATGGTTCTCTTCAAGGGATTTGGATGCCACAACATGAACCACATCGTCGATGAACCCAATTGAGAGATTTTGGGCTGTCGGTTCAAGTTTTTCCGGGCTCAATAGGGAGGAGTTATACAGGATGTACTGTCCAGAGCCTCTGAACTTCTGAAGTGTGATCATACACCGGTATCCGGGATAGTCCGGGTCCCGGATAGCTTGGCAAGGGTATCCGGAGGTATCCGGCGCATTTAGCATGGCTCGGATCGAGTTGGGTTAAAGATGACATCATGGATATGTCGTACATAGCCATTGACCACTTTCAATCTCTTTCAACTCTTATAACCTATAAAATAGTTTGCGATTTCTTTTTCTGATCGAACGATCACCTTGCTCACTCCCACCAATTTGCAACAGGTGCCGACCCAAGCGGGTTTTATGTTTATTCAAGTAAACCTATTTGAGATCAAACTCATTTGAGTCAAATTGGTACTTACTTTGAATCATGTGAGTTCTTTGTTCATTTTCCATATTAGACCGGAGAAAACAGATGGGAAATGAGTCGTGTTTTTTTATTCTGTAGATTTTTAGAATCAAGATCTTATGTAGGCTGGAAAACGTCTTGAAACACATTTATTTGAAACCAACTTGACAAATGACGGTTTGATCAAAGACGGATAGGGTTGCGCGGACCAGTGGGCGTAAGGGTGATTGGCACATTGTTTCAGGAAGAAACAATAGGCGTATGGGTACGGAAAGGACACCGGTAGAAAAGAAAATGAAATCAGTCGAACCAACTTGGTGAAACGGATTTTTGATTTCAAATTCGGCACTCATATAGTGCGAAGTGGGCGACGTGAATTATATGGAGGAAAAAACATCAAATGGTTTTTGTCTAAAATGAAACATGTTTAAAGGGTTTATCTAAATTAGTCATGACTCGTTCGTTTGATGATGAGATATTATTTTCGCAAGGTTCTTCAATGTGATTTGGTATAAAATCGAACCTCGATGGGTTTCTGTTTTAAGGACCTCTTAACCTTTTTGATCTCGCCTTCAAGTTGGACAGATCAATCATCAAAACCTATCAAGCTGCAGATCAGGATCAACTAATGATGGAGAAGCAGAATATTTATTTCAATCTTGTCATTTTAACTTTAATCTTGGTATTTTGTGATTTAAGTGTTAATGGAGGGAAATTGACAAATGAGGATGAAGTAGAAGGAATCTTGACTCAAATTGAATCTCAAATCAAATATCGTAATTCAGCTTTCAATTTAGCGCGAAAACCTGATCGTCAAATCAAAGAAACAGACGAACTCGAGGCAAGTTAAGTGATCACTTTACTCTAGATGATGATAACAAGTTTTTCCCTTTGACTGATAATAATTTGCTTTGATTGGACTTCAGATTCAAGAGCTTCGTCAAGCTCTAATTTAATCTCAGATTCTAATCCAAATAATCAATCACCCCATCATCATCATGAAACAGGTAAATCATTTCTTGGCCTTTGATTGATGGTTTGTATTAATCAATTGTATATTTCATCAATTCTACAAAACATCATAGCAGATCATTTACCACCCACGCCCAATCAAAATACTCCAAATCAATTGTCATCAATGTCCAATCAACATTCTCCCGATCAATCGCCATCAACGTCAAATCTTCATTCTTCAAAACAGTTGCCATCAACTTCAAACATACCTTCTCCTTCCGCTCCAATGTCGGATCTCATTAATCAAGAAGTGTATCATTCAATCAAAACTTATGATCCCAATACCAAGTTAGATTCATTGGAGCCAGTAGATTCTAAATTACTTCGAAAAGCTCGAACTCGATTACATCTTGCATATCAAAGTATCAAACAAACCTTGAACGGACCGGAGCATACTGATTTTATTGATCAGATTCGCCGTAATACCTTGAAAAGTTGGTCTTATATATTACACGTCATGAAATCGGCTGATGTCAATGAAGTTGGAATTCCAACTGAATTTTTGAAAAAAGTCATGGAACCTGTCATCAATCGTCTCATTCTCCGAGACCACAATCAGATCTTGACTTTTAGATATCAAGGTGAAGCTCCTGTGACTAGGATTGTGGCAATATGGGCAAAATTCTGGCGCTCATTGGTAAACACTGATCCTAAACCGATTCTGCATGATGAATATGTTACAGCTTCAATGGATTGGATTATTAATCTTATCCTTCATAAACTTCCTCTCGACCCTGATTCAGTCATGCATGAATCATCTCGAGACCCTACAAACATTGATCTTAGGGTTGCTAGATTTATTGTTAGACCCGATGGACCTGATGTCTTGGATAAATTGGTTCAAGATCTGTTCGACATCAACTTACAAAGTCACGCTCGTCAGTTTTACAACGTTCTTATAAAATACAAGGAAGTATCACCTAGCTCCCTCGATTACATCATGCGTGAAGCTGATGATCAGTATAGAGACCATTTATTCAATCAATACAAACAATTCAGACAAGATCAAATTAGTCTTAGGTGTGCTGCATCAGGTTTACGTCGATCAGATCATCAATCCGGTTCAGATCGAATTTCGCTCGGTCGTTCTAGGCACTTACCAGAAAAACTTAGACTGTTGATGATTGATCATTTCAGCAGGATGATAATCAATCAATTGAGATCTACTCTTGAGTCTAGATCACCAGCTTTCAAACAATACTCTCCATTTAAAACTTATTTGCATAAATCATATCCAGAATTTATCGAATATGTTACTTCGACTGGCAAAACAAGTATAACTTTGGATCGCATCATTCATACATATTTAATGCCTTTGAGAATTTGGACAACCATTTTAAGACAAATGGATCCTAAAGTCGAAGTAAACCTAGGGCAAGATATGTTGAGGTTCCTAGATCTACAAGTACGTAAAGGGATCAAAGAAGAAATCATTTATAATTGGATTTATGTAATCCATCTCACATTTGAAGAACTTGGACTTGAAAACAGAAATCTATTGCATCAAGTATTTATAAAAAAACAGGTTCAAGATTGGACATCAGGTAAAGGAAGTTTGATTCCTCAGGCATACCTAGATGTTGCAAAGTTAAAGCTGGTTAGCAACTGGTTAGGTAATGAAGTGAAATCATCGTTTTCCAGAAATCATGAAATTTTGAATATACCACCTGTGCCTAAATTCTCGGCTTCAGATGCAAAAAAAGGTTTTAAAGATATCTCATCAAAATCTAGTTTTCAAAAAGTTTCAAAATCACCACCTCTTCCTGCATCTCCAGATTCAACCCTTGAATTGGTTTCTAAAGATCAACATTTATCAACACCATCTACATCTCTTCAAGTTGAACATTTAACCCCTGTACCTAAAAATTCGAATCCGAATCTTGAATTGAATTCTCAAGAGATCTCACCCGCTCCTAAAAAACACTCATTCTTTGAAACTTCAATGCCTGTACCCAAAAATTCGAATCCGAATCTTGAATTGAATTCTCAGGAGATCTCACCAGCTCCTAAAAAACACTCATTCTTTGAAACTTCAATGCCTGTACCTAAAAATTCGAACCCGAGTCGTGAATCAGATCCTCAAGGAATACCCCAAGCTCCTGCACGACATCCATTCTTTCAAAATTCAAGACCAGGACCTGCATTCAGCAATCTAGGATCGAGTTCAGAAGATCTACATATCTCGCAACCAAGTGATTCTCTTCAAGTGATTCGAAACACCCCATCACCCTTGTCCCCAGTACCTCGATTCTCAGAATCAAGTCTAGAACAGTTTTTTGAACCTACACTCAAATCAAGACCTATAACATCTTTTCAAGTTGATAAAGATCAAGAAAAAGAAATTGATGGGTTTCTTAATGATCATGATTTTGGGTATGATTATGATCGATCTCATTTAGAAAATTTAATGAAGCCTTCTAAGAGGGCGAAATTGCATGAATGAGCAAAAAGTAATTTATAGTTTTTAATTTAATTGACGCAATCTTCATTTCCTAAGTTTTTTTATGATGGTGGATTTTTTTTGGATAGGTTCATATGGGAAGATGGTAAATTTTTAATTGCCTTTCCGAAAACTCTCCACTATATTTATTTGGTTTATTGTTCTAAAAAACTTTGGATGCTTTTTATAACAAGAATTTATTTCATATATATTTTGTTTATGAGTTTCAAATGTTGATATCTTTATCTTCCGTTTGTCATTTTTATTAGAAAAAAATCGATGCGATTTAAATTAGAATTTTTTTTACTCGCAATTCCAGTTTGTTTGAGTTTTCAGCATTTAGACTGCACGGATGAAATATATCTTCCAAGTGCAGCAAAATTGCATGAGATAGGCAAAACAATCAAAAATGCATTTTTCTCTACATTTTTCATTGTTTTTGGCATTACTGTGTTCATTTTTGGCTTCCAAAAGAATACTTCATCTATGCAATTATTATGAAAGGTTACTTGATATTGGATTCCATGGAAAGGTACCCTTTCTTTGTAACTCTTTGGCATCATTACCATATTACTTTTTTGAATTACTTTATCATTATTGTGCATCTTGATGGTGCAGTGGAAGTCAAAATAAGTTTATTTCATTCAATGGATTTGAAGCCATTGTAAATGGAATTCCACTACTCTGTTCTGCATACTCGGACAGTTTTGAAATCAACTTGCTTGGCATTGATCAGTATCTTTGCAGTCTCATTGGAATTTTTGCTTTACTATTGGAATTATGTATTTTTTCATGGGATTTCAATTTTCAACACACAACCCAATGATGTGAATTCTTTTTGGCTACAGTACTTGGACAGTTTCACAAAGTTTAGAGAACTTGTATTTGAAAATCAGAGGTATCCTCAGATATAGATTCCATTAGACACCCTGTCCAAGAGAATAGTCCAAGGCCTTCTTTAGCCCCAATAAAATACTTAGATCAATCACTCAGCCACTATATATGAGGCTATTGCCATCCAAGGACCATATTTGACAATCCAAGGCATCTTCAATGGTGGTGCTACTTCCCTTGCTGATACAATTATTTTCACCCAAGAGCTCTAACTGGGTCCCGCAACAAGGATAGGGGAAATTGACTGTACTTTGGTATATTTTATGGAATGTTAGTTCATGAAACATTGGTACGTCAACTATATGGAGATAGGGCAAGTTGAGAATGCTCTTATGAAGTTGTGAGAGCACATTTGTGATAATTTTTTCAAGAGGCCAAGCTGTCATGCCATGAGCTTATATACCCATGACACCACAGATATCTATTAGGTTCAATCGTATGTGAAAGAGTTGCAAGATTGGCAGTGTTCTCGTCAGAATTGAATGCTCAAGCCTACTCTGAAGAGTGGCACTTTGCAATTTTTGTGTGACTTGAGTGTGACTAAATATACAGCTATTCACGAAATTCGTGTCATGTGCACAAAATTTTTTGAGTTGTTTGCTCGAACGCCACATGCAAATACAGGATTCCGCAGCACAGCTGTAGCTGTAGTAGCCTGTGGAATAGGTTGACCAAGACCCACGAGTTCTCGTACCCCGAGTTCTCATACCCCGAGTTCTCAGCCGGATCTTGGTAAACCTGACCACCGATATCAAATTTTTTCACCACCTGACCCACTACTCGATCTTCACCCCATCAATTTTTTTCTCGATTTCCACATCCCTCACTCTTGTCGCCCCAGGTTCGTCACTCCTCCTTCTTCCCAAGGAAACATCCCCTTCTGACATGTTAATTCCATATCCCATTCTAGAGATGCGAGTGCGGCCCGGCAAATACGACGTCGGTATCAAGGTATTGGCGATTCAGTACCTCCGCGAAGGCAAAACCATTGATCAAGTCCGACATCTGTTGAAGTCGCCAGTCAGTTCCCGTACGGTCTCTAGATGGCACGCTTTATATCGAAGAACCCATGCTATTGTTCGAAACCCTGAAGATTATGCAGCACTGGGACGAAACACTTGCTTGACTGACGAGGATCGTGATTTCATGTTGGAGCTTCTCGACGGGAATCCTGCCCTCTACTTGGACGAGTATCGCCACACAGTTTATCGAAGGACTGCCACTTGGGTTTCTTTAAATACAATTGCAAATGATCTCAAGAATCGCCTCCACCTGACTTGCAAGAAAGCTCGGACTGTGCACCCTAACCAGAGTGCCACCAAGCGGGCTAGGTATTTACATGCGGTAGGAGGTTTGACCCCTAACATGCTGGTTTTTTTGGGCAAGTCAAGTTGTTTCCTTTAATTGTGACAGAGTCGCTGACTTTTTAATTATTCTCAATTTCAGACGAGTGCTCAATTCAGGAAAGGTATCTTGGCAGACAGTTTGCCCGGGCCAGAAAAGGTGAACGTACAAGACGTATTCCCAGGTCTCGTGGTGGGAAACAATTCTCGCTCCTACCAGCAATCTTCAGGGGTGGGGTTTTAGCTCTAGACTGCCAAGAAGGCAGCTACCTTCGAAGAGACTTTGAAGGGTTCCTCAAACATCGACTGGTTAGTCATTTTTTGACCTGTGATATCACTCCTTGGCGCGGAAACTGACATGTCTCTTGGATTAGTTTCCGGTAATGAATTCGTATCCTCAAGCCAATTCGGTCTTAGTGATGGACAACTGTCGGATCCATCACGGCGGACGTATCGCTGATCTGGCCGCAGAAAGAGGAATACGTATCATGTATCTCCCACCCTACTCGCCTGATCTCAATCCCATTGAGAAGGCGTTTAGTGTTCTGAAATCACACTTTCGACGTACGCAAAGCCTTGTCGAAACCGCCGCTGGAAATAAAATCGACTTGATCATGGACAGGACATGGGACCTTTTCTCGGGTGCTCTCATGCATAAGTTATACACAGTATGTGGCTATTGGATATAGTTGGTTTTAGGGGTAGATTGGTCTTCAGGTTGCGTGATTGTGTAATTTTGCTTGTGCTACCTTACCTGATGTCTCCCTCCCTGGTGCCCCTTGTTACAAATCATTTCAAATGCTCAATCATATTTCCTTTGATGAAAAAACATGTTTCTGTCATTGCTTCTCTTGGTGCCACTATGTTAAATACTGATTCAAAAAAAGACTTCAGTCAAAGCGAGAAACCCAAAAAAAATCAGTGGAACAATATGTAGCACCTGTGAGATGAGTTGAGTTCTGTGATCCATAGGCGGGATCTAGAGGTGGTTCATGAGATTGACCCTGATTGTTCTTTGTCCAGTGCAAAGAACGATCGATCAATTGGATCAATCTTTTTTTAGCACTATGACACGGGGATAAGGAGGGCAAGTCATCTATGATGATGATGAGAGATTTCAAGAACAACCATCGTGCAAAGAGGTATCGATCAATTGGATCAATTTTTTTACGACTATGGCACTGTGGTTTAGGAGGGCAAGTTGGCACTGTGGTTTAGGAGGGCAAGTCATCTATGATGATGACATTTTTTCATGAACAGCACTCTGAAGTTTCATAAACAAACTGACACATCACGCAAAAGGAAAGAAACAAATTGATTTTGGAAAACAAATTGATTTTGGAAAGCTAGTTTTTGGGGATATAACGTGATTGAATGACTTTCACAACCTTGAAGAAGGGAAATTTTGACCTCAAATTCAAAGAGATTTTAAATGATGATTATACTTGGGTACAGCCTTAAAAAGATCTTCAGCGTGAGCAAAGGGCATACCCATGCTGTAAAAACGATCCATGGTGTAGGTTGAGCGGTCCAATAGACGGCCGAAATCGTTGATACCCTCGTTACACTGCCAGCATTAAAGAGGTTCCCAGATGGGAATATGGGTTGTAGGGATCAGACCGCCATTGTGATATTGGTAGTCACAAAGGCTGTCTGATTCCTATGACCCATATTCCCATCTGGGAACCTCTTTAATGCTGGCAGTGTTAGCTAGAGAGTTGCGAGTCTTCTTCATCTCCAGAGAGATACCAGCAAAGATTAAGAAGTTTTCAAAGGCCGGAATCTCAGGCGGGGGGGAAAGTCGAAGCAATTGGGCTGGGTTATCTTGAGGTAACGGTAAGGTTCCAGGAGTAGGAAATGGTGCACCATAATAGTTATGATGCACCACACTTCCGGACGCAGGCGAGGTCCCAGACGCAATACCGCAACCGCTCCGCTCGAATGAGCGCGAGCGGAGCGTGAGCGGAGCGGTTTTGGCATCCGCTCAAACCTCCGCTACCCAGAGCGGAGGCTGCGCACCGCGCTCCGAGGAGAGGAAAGTCCTGAGCGAAGCATATCGCTCCGCTCAGAGCCAGGGCTCGAGTCTCTTTTTTATGGTTTTTTTAGACTTTTCAGGTCTTTTGTAGTGATGAGCGCCGCACACTGGTGTTGCACTACGCACACCAAAGTAAGAAAAAAAATAAAAAAGAGCGATATTGTGCGTAGTGAGATTGAGCGCAGCACTGCGCTCCGCTCCCAAAATAGGTCGAAAACCTGAGCGGAGCGTAGCGGTTGCGGTGTTGCCAGACGGACTAGGTCCTTTCAAACCGAGGAGAGCGGTTTTTTCTTGCTCATAGTCGCGGACGTTGATCCAGCGAAATCCAGGACGGTTCATAGGGGGGTTGACCTCGTCAACACCACATACCCCATCAGCCTGTGGGATGTGTGAAAAACAGATATCATCAATTTAACGACTGACCGAGAAATGAAACAGAAACATCAAGACTTACCCAATCGTTCGCCCATGTTCGTATGCGTGCAGTATTGAGCAGCAGTACTTTGCTTGGATCCTTTGGATTGGTCACAGTGGTCACATTCTCGCCGGCCTTGAAGTCTTTTTCAAATCTTTTCATGAGAGTGCGTAGATTTCGTTCACCTGCGCTTAAGATTGCAGACTGATAAAACCACAGGTCAGTTCAAGGTTAAGATCAATACCGACGGATTAAGACCAAAGTTAGAGAAAGATAGATAAATTTCACTTACACCCTCCGACGCTACCAATACCTCACCATCAGATTCATCGGAATCATCCTTAGGACCGGCTTGTTTAAGCTCGTTCTCCAAGGCTAGGGCCGCGCTGGCAGTCAGTTTGGGGTTCTCGTGGTGGATTCGAAAGCCCATGGCATTAGTAGCTGCCACACTCTTGGCGGCTACTAAGAATTTGGTGAGTGAATCTTGATCGTCAATTGCCATCTTGTTGTTACCCTTATGTTGACGATGACCATTTATAAAACCCTGTATATCGAGAGTCTTAGCATACCATGCCTTGCTGAGCGCTTTCGAGATGCCGGGGAGTTTTTTGTCGCAGGCCTGGAACAAATTGAGCCGGAATACACAGAAGCTGATGGTGGGGTTTCGCAAGGTGATTTTTGTGGGGACCTTGGGGTTGTAGTTCTCGTATTTAGGAACAGTTGACTTGCGGTTGCTAGGACAAGTACCGCCAGGGGTCTTCTTACGCTTATTGGCGGTTAGCACTTCGGGTTCAGGACACTTAGGTTGCCAATAGTTAAAGAACACTTGGAAGGTTCGATCATCAGGGTCAGGGACAGGTTGTGAAGCGATAGGTTCAGGCGGCGAGGAAGATTGGGAGGGTTGGGTTTGGGGTGCTACAGCTGCCGCAAATCGGTCATCAAAAATGTCACTAGGCAGATCTACAACATGCACACAGTCAGCATGTGATCGATTGCGGTGGAGGTTCAAGAGGGCACATACCATCATCGTCATTGTCTTCAGCAGTATCTTCAGTAGTATCGATGGGCGCAGGCCGTTTATGGGGAGAACCACGGTTGATCAAGTCGGCGGCAGTTGTCATAGGGGTACAGGCGGTTGAAGAAGACGCTGAGGTGTGTTTCGAAGCTTCGAAGATGAAGGGATTTATGTGGGGATTCGACGTGACAGATGATTGTGAGCAGGTAGCGGTCAGGCTGGGTGGACAAAACTTGGCACATTCGCTTGTCAACGGGGTTCTATTAGCAAAAGGGTGGAATGGGATTCCAGGCGGCGGGATAAATGTTGAATCTCTAGGGATATGGGGAGCCTCGAGAGGTGGGGACAAGGTTGAACCACTGGTGAAGAGCGGGGTGAACGCAGGGTTTGACAATCTACAAAAACCAAAGATGAACGTTAGTAATGAGACATCATAGGTCAATATCACTAAATGACTAACGGGGCTCTACCCATAGCTTGGCCCATGAGAGCTTGGTAGCGAGTGCGAACAGGGCGAGGTGACGTTCGAATCAGGTTGTCGATTCGCCTGATTTGATAAGACGGGCTGGAGGGAGTTTGAGAATGAGATCAGAGTGAGACATCAATTGAAGAAGGAGGGAAAAAAAGGAGGAAAAGAATCGAATGAGCGATTGATCAACCAAAGGTGGAAATGAGATGAAAAAGATATAGATAGAATCATCAAAAAGACGTACGCTGTCACAGTAGATTTCTTTGTGTTGCCCATGGTGCGTGTGAGAGTGTTTATTTTGAGATGGATAAGAGGGAAATTGGTTTGCTGGGAGGGCCTTTGATCGTCCATGAAGCTGGCCTTTTGAGGAAATTTGGGGGTTCCGATGTCGAATGATTCCCAGATGAAAATTGTCATCTTTTGTTTGGCCTGGCCAGAAGCGGTGGGTGAATGAACGAGCGAGCAAACCTCGTATGGGCGACCGGTTGATGGCTGAGATTGGGTCCCAATCGTGGAGGAAATTTTGAACGCCCCCATATCCTCGTTGGTCTTTCCGGTGGGTGATTGAATTGATGGCCAAACACCGGAAAACAAACCCAGAGCCCTGTAGATGACCGGATCGGGTATATTGTAGGTCAGCGCACCGCAGCGGATACCATTGCTACACCCTTGTAGTAGCTGTATTTGCATGTGGCGTTCGAGCAAACAACTCGAAAAATTTTGTGCACATGACACGAATTTCGTGAATAGCTGTATACGCAAGATTCCTTCAGGGCTGAAAGTCAAAAATGACAGTATTTTAGAAGATTTTAGATTGCTCTGTGCCCAAGATTTGAGTGCTGTGAAATCAAAATATCAACATAAAATATGTACAGCTGTTTCAACAAAGATTGATTTTTTTTGAAAATCTCGCCAATGTGCAAAACCCGGGTTTTGTCCTGTTTTGTCCCTCACCCAATTTTGTCTCTCCGCTGATTGGAAGAATACAGAAAAGAATAAACCTGTAAATTGAGTTTTGTCTCTGGTTTTACCCGCTGCGGAGACAACTTTCTCCAAAAAAAGTTGTCAACCTCTCTTGAAACGGCTGTATATAGTGGGTAGTGCCTAAAAGCGTGAAATCAGGTATTTTGAGAAAAACATTTATAAAACCCACAAAATTGATCCAATTTTGATGCCGAGGGCAGATTTGGAATCCTCACATCAATAGCAATCCAAAATTGTATTGAACATATTGTTTGTAGCAATTTTTACAGTAGAGAAAGTTCTTTTCACACAATGGAGTTTTTGATAAATCAGCTTTTTGGCCGGCCCGACATTACACGCTTTTAGACACTACCCACTATACAAGATATTGAGAAACCAAGAGCGGTAGGGTTTAAAGAAGAACAAGGTACATGATTTACTTTGTTGATGTAGAGACACGTTCAAATTGGTTATAAAGGGGAACATAATTTCACTCTACTTGTAAGTCCCTTGTTTGAGCCAGCTGGCACAGCTCCAGCGAGGGACTGGTTAATGCTTTTTTCCCGTGCTGGGTTCATAATCTGAGTCTCTGAACTTTGAAGACACCGGAGGTCGACTCGGTCCGGGTTCAGAGTAGTTTGGGTGTATCCGACGAATCAAATGGTCCGGTTATAAATCAAGCTTAGCCCGGATCACTGCAAGATGGAATTGAGTGGAAATTCGAATTGACGTAAAATGTTGTTTACCACTCCTCAATTCCTACAACCTATAAAATCAAAATGCTTGACAATTGGTCTTGTTTGATCCCCTTGATCGCTCCGAGCACGCGGCGTTTCTGTTTACTCAGATGAGATCAAACATTTAAGTCAAATTGAATCTTACCTCGAATCCTGTAAGTTCCTTTCTTATTTACATCTTGAACAAGATAAAGATGGAATTAATCTTGTTTTATTTCAAATATCTAGATTTTTACAATCGAGATTTTGTGCTGTAAAACTTCTTGAAACGCATATATATGATCAAAGATGGATAGCGATGTAAGCACCAGTGGACGTAAGGATGATCCATGGATTGTTTCAAGAAGAAAGATTAGGCCTCTGTGTAAGGAAAGAACACTAAGAAAGAACACCGGTGGAAAGGAGTGAAATTAGTCGAACTAACTTGATGAAACTAATTTTTGATCTTAAATTCGGTACCCATATAGACTTGATAGTTTCGGAAGGGGTGATTAGTTTCGAAAGGGATGATGTAAATTATGGAGAAAAGATGAGTATGAACATTCGATGGTACTTGTTTAAAGGGTTTATCTAGATCAGTGAAGATCCTTTGGTTTCATCATCAGAGCATTATCTTTGTAAGATTCTTCGATGTGATTTGGTATAAGATTGAACCTCGATGGATTTCTGATCAGATTTATAGATATTCCAATCTTTTTGATCTCGCCTTCAAGCTCTATAGATCAGTCTTCGAAGCATATCAAGCTGCACATCGGGATCAACTAAGGATGGAGAAGAAGAAGATTTATCCTAATCTTTTGATTTTAACTTCAATTTTAATATTTTGTGATTTAAGTGTTAATGGAGTGAAATTAACAAATGAGGATCAAGCAAAAGCAATCTTGAATCAAATTGGATATCAAATCAATCATCCTACCTCAGCTTTCAATTTAGCGCCACAACCTGATCATCACATCAAAGAAATAAACGAAATCGAGGCAAGTTAAGTTCCTCACTCCATTCTAGATGATAATAAATTTTGGCCGTAACTGATATAAGGATTTCGTTTGATTTGACTTCAGGTTCACCAACTTATTCAAGTTCTGATTCAATCTTAGATTCTAATCCAAACAATCAAATACCCCACCGTCATCATGAAACAGGTAACTTGTTCCTTCATCCTGGATCGATGGTGTCTTAAATTCATCAATTGAATAACTCATCAATTCATCAATTTTTTACATGTTAGATCATTTGCCATCAAGTCCAAACGTACCACCTCCTTCCTCTGGCATATCTGATCTCATTAATCAAAACATTATCAATTCAATCAAGACTTATGATCCTAATACCAAGCTAAATTCATTGGAACCAATAGATTCTCAATTACTTCGAGAAGCTCGAACTCAGTTACATTTTGGAATTGAAAGTATCAAACAAACGTTGACCGGAGAAGCACATACTGATCTTGTTGATCAGATTCGCCAGAATATTTTACAAGCATGGTCTCGTGTATTAAAAGTCATGAAATCAGCTGATGTAAAATCAGTTGGAATTCCAACTGAATTTCTAAAAAAAGTCATTGATCCTGTTATCAATCATCTCATCGCTCGAGACCGCAGGCAGATCTTGAATTTTGCATCCCGAGGTCAGGTTCCTGTGACTAGAATAATCGCAATTTGGGCAAAATTCTGGCGCTTATTGGTTAACACTGATCCCAAACCGATTCTCAATGATGGATATGTTTCAGCTTCAATGGATTGGATCATCAAGTTTATCCTTCCCAAACCTCAAATCAAGTCGGCTTCAGTCAAGGATCAATCATTTCTGTATCCTACGAGCATTGGACTTCGAATGTCTAGATTCATTGATGCGCTCGATGGACCTGATGTCTTAGATAAACTTGTTCAGGATCTGTTCAACATCAATTTAAGAAGGCAAGTTCGTCAATTTCACACCGGTCTTGCAAAAAACAACCAAGTGCCAGCTACGTCTCTCAGGTATATCATGAGTGAAGCTGATGGTAAGTATAAACTGCAATTATTCAATCAATACAAACAATATAGACAAGATCAAATCAGTCTCAGGTATTCTGTATCAGGTTTACGTAGATCAGATCATCAATCTAATTGGAATGTGATTTCACCCATTTATTCTGGACTGGTGACACAAAAGCTTAGACTCTTGATGATTGATACTGTCAGCAGAATATCAATCAATCAATTGAAATTCACTCTTGAGTCAACATTACCGACCTTTATACAATCATCTCCATTCAAAACTTATTTGCATGATTTATATCCAAGATATATCAAACATATTACTTCTACTCCTAAAAGAGATACAACGTTCGATCACATCATCGATACGTATCTAACGCCCTTGCGAATTTGGACAACCATTTTAAGACAAATGGATCCTAAAGTCGAAGTAGAGCTAGGAGAGGATATGTTGAAATTTCTAGATGTACAAGTACGTAAAGGGATCAAAGAAGAGATGATTTACAATTGGATCTACATAATTCATCTCACATTTGAAGAACTTCGACCTGAAATGAAAAATCGATTGAACCAAGTATTTATAAAAAAAGAAACTCAAGATTGGTTATTAGGTGAGGGAAGTTTGATTCCTCAGGTATATTTAGAACTTGCAAATTTAAAACTAGTTAGCAATTGGTTAGGTAATAAGTTAAGATCATTGCTTATTAGACATCATCAACTTTTCATTATACCACCTGTACCGAAATTCTCGGCTTCAAATGTAAAGGAAGTTAACAAAGGATTAAAAATATTAAGACCATCTGGTTCTCAGCAAGTTTCAAGATCATCAACTCTTCCTAAATCCCCCAATTCAGATCATGATTTGGCTTCTCAAGATCAACATTTATCACCACCATCTACGTCTCATCAAGTCGAAAACTCAACCCCCGTACCTAAACTTTCGACTCCGGATGTTGAATCAGATCCTCACGAAATCTCACAAGTTCCTAAACCACATCCATTTTTCCAAGATTCAATGCCTCTACCCAAATACTTAAATCCGAATCTTGAATCAGATCCTCCAGAGATCTTACAAGCTCCGAAACCCCGTTCAATTCTCGAAAATCCGATGCCTGTTGATCCTAATCGTGAACCAAATCCTCAAGAACTCTCACAAGTTCCTAAACCACATCCATTCTTTCAAAATTCAAGCCCTGTACCTAGATATTCAAATCCGAATCGAGAATCAGATTCTCAGCAAATCTCACAGGCTCCTGCACCCCATTCAATTTTTCAAAATTCAAAACCAGTACCCGGATTCACCGATCCGAACCGTGAATTAGATACTCAAGAAACCTCACAAGCTCCTCAACCGCATCCATTTTTTCGAAATTCGATGCCTGAGCCTGAATATTCGAATCCGAGTCATGGGTTGCACCCTCAAGAAATCTCACAAGCTCCTGAACCACATCCAATTTTCCAAGACTCAATGCCTGTACCCAGAAATTTGGATCCGTATCGTGAGTTGAATTCTCAGGAAAACCCACACCCTCCTCAACCACATCCATTTTTCCAAGATACAATACCTGCAATTAAATTCACCGACCGGAACCTGGGATCAATTTCAGATGGTTTACATGTGTCACAACCAACTAATTCTCATCAAAATATTCAAAACTCACCATCAGCACCATTACCATTGCCTAAATTCTCAGACTCTAGCTTAGAGGATTTCTTTCAACCTAGGCTTAAATCAAGACTTAGTAAATCTGCTCAAGTTGATGAAGATCAAGAAAAGGAAATTGATGGATTTCTTAATGATGAAGAGAGTGTTAATGATCAATCTTATTTAGAAATTTTGATGAAATCTTCAAAAAGAAGAAAATTTGATGTATGATTGAATGCAGAGTAATTTACATTTTGTAATTTATGCATTTGATTGATGGAATGTTCACTTCTTGAGGCTCTTTTTTGGATTTATTGATTTTTATCAATGAGCTCATGTGTACAGATGTGTCATCTTTATTTCTTCATCTTCCATTTGTTTCTTTTTCATAGAAAGAATCTATATACATTATTTCAAAAGAATTATTTTATTTTTTTCTTTCACTTGAAATAGAATTTTGTTTGAGTTTATGGTATAAATTTATAAACGACCATTTGATATCATATTCAAACAAAAGTTACTGTCAGTAATTCTTGAGTGGCATCCTCATGTTGCCTTTTTCATTTACTTCATCATCCTCGCGCGCATTAATAGATACAGTGAGATTCAATATATGATTCTTTCATTTGATGGATTGAAATTGTTTGAAATGCAAATCTATCACTCTGTTCTCCAAACCCGGGCAGGTTTTAAAATTTCTGAGATATCACTTGTATAGTGTGACGGTTTGCTTTTTAGTTGATGAAGATGGATATCAATAACAAAAAGATATGGAAAAGAACAATTAGCAGAAAAGATTACAACTGATGGTAAAACTTGGGCTGCTGAAAATTAGACAACCGAAGATATGGTAAGGTCACCTTTGTTCTCACAATCTTTTTGTTTTTGAAGAATCAAGAATTGCTAAGATTCTTTACTTCTTTTTTGAAGGTTATGGGAATTTTTGGGCTGCTTATATGTTCGGATTGGTTTTAAAAGGATTGTGTTAAATTAAGAGGTACAGCGGGAGATAAATTAGATGATATGTGAGTCCTTGACATCCCCCTTTCAGCTTTTGAACATGGCTACTTTGATCAAGAAGTGATTTGAGATGAATGAAATGATAGAATGACTATTTTTGCTGAATATAGCAAATCAATCAATTCTCTATAATATCTTGTTTTTTTGCGAATATAGTTGTCTCATTCCTTTTTCAAATTATGTATTGGATTTCTCTTTCATTGAAGTTTTGTTTTTTGTGAGTTTTTATGGAGTTTGCAAAGAGAAAAAATACCAATGCAGAAAGTCTACAAAACACATTTTTTAATGGTAGGAGAACAATTCATCTTAAGGGCTATACTGGAAACATATCTACAGGTCAATTTGAGGTCAACGTACAAAACAAGTGAATCAGGGAGCAAAGGTTGCGGTAAAAGACACGGAGAAATAGAAAACCTAACTAGCCTAAACACCAGAATATTGGAGAGAGCAGGCCGGAGGGCGGGTGAAGACACGATGTACAAAAAAACAAGATAAAAAGATAAAAACGATGGTATAAGCTACTAAAAAGCATTATCCGTATCTTTTGATGGATGACTTCTCAAATGAGACTGAAAAGATATGGAGACAAAAAAAGAGAAGCTGTTTGTTATAAGAGAAAGAAAACAAGATAAGGACAACAACAAAGACCGTATCACGAATCAACACAGGAAGATGAAGATGAAGATCTCAAATTTCCTCATTCCCTTTGATACAATATCAACTTAAAATCACAAAGATCCCCCGCCGTAAGGATCTGCCTAATGGCTTCAAGAGCATCGACGAGCTCGGTGTTTAATAATTAGATCTTTCTCGGCCTCTATATATGCGCGAACTGATGGGTCAAGATTGGTGGTGTTACTTGTCAGAATTGAATGCTGGAGCATTCTTTGAAGGGTATCAGTTTGTAATCTTGCTTGTAACGCAAGCTGTTGGAACGAATGAGCCACAATTGTAGAGTTTTCCAAAATTCGATCAGTCAGTTCGTCTATTATCGTGTCACACTTTTTGAATCTTTTTGGAGGGCGTTCCATAGTTTGGAAGTCTTCTTCGTCTTCGTTGTCTTCGTCTTCGTCTTCGTCTTCGTCTTTGTCTTCGTCTTCGTTGTCTTCGTCTTCGTCTTCGTCTTCCTCGTCGTTGTCTTCGTCGTCTTCGGTGTCTTCGGCATCGCCAGAAGAAGAACTTGAGTTGGTAGAAGAATCTTGATCAAATACTCCGTCTTGAATGAATGAGTCTAATTGATTGGACTCTCGGCAGTGTTCTAAATAAACTGGGTTTTTCTTCCAATCGGGAGCATCCTTGATAAGGTTGTAGGGCCTCCAGTGTTTGAAACGAGAACCCATATTGGCGTGATACATTTTCATGGCATCGATTAGGTGAATAGATGTCTTGTCGTTCGCCTGCAGGCTCAGCTTCTTGACTTTTTGCATACAACTGGCAAATCGAGACATACTCTGGTTGAGCTTTGACCATTTGGATTCAAGTGAATTTAAAGAACGATTCTGGGAGATATCCATCCACTGATTGAAGTCGGCGGTTATTTTGAACCAGAATGGGGCCTTCCGTGGTACTTTTTCGACCACCCCACCTTGAACTACATGTAGCCATGATCTACAGAGTTGCTCAAGAGAAGCGTTGTTATAGTTTGCGCCGCGGGTGGATGGCTTTGTAGGATCAGAATTAAAGGTTATAGGCTTGGTTTCCGCAGGCTGAGCGTATATCAATCGAGATGATACTTGTGAGTTGATTGCCCAGGGGTTGATCAAACTTGGAGCCCAGCGCACACATTGCACACAGGGTCGACTGTTATCGAAGCGTCGGGATTGCAGCTCGATAGGTTCTTCAATATGGTTGAAAGAAATCCCTCGCATTTGGTGTGTATCATGGCCAGATGGCTTAGCCGGATTAGAGTCAAAGGTTATAGATTTGGTTTCCGTAGGCTGGGGGTATATCATTCGAGATGAGACCTGTGAGGTGATTGGCCAGGGGTTGATCAAACTTGGACTCCAGCCCACACGTTGGACACTACATTGGACACTGGGCTGACTGTTGTGGAAGCGTCGTGATTGAAGCGCGATAGGCGCTTTTTCAGTATGGTGGAAAGAACTTTCTTGTATTTGGTTTTGACCCCAATATTCAGTTCGCCGCGTAAGATTTTGTTGATTAGAGTACGCAAAGCCAGGATGCCAAACACGAGAAGGGTGATGACCTGCTAAAGGAAGTACAGGAGTATTGCAAGTTGGTAGAAGACTCCGAGCGCTATGGTCTCCTCTGAAACCTGCACATCATACATACTCATAGATATCAGAATGGCGATAACATGCAATGTGCTTCATAAACAACTCACCTGGATGGGATTCGGAACTTTGGCTAAAGGTATTGTCAACGGACGCCTTGCTAACACCGCCTATGGTTCTCTTCATGACTGATGATATTGTAAGTTGGAAGGTTGAACAAAAATATAAAGAATGAAAGAAAATGTTTGAGAAGGATGATGAGCCTTCAACATGCGAAGCACTGAGGATTTTATTGTCAGAAATCAAGACTTGATATTATCTTATAACCGGATTGGATACCATTACGTCCCATTGACTCTTACTTTATTTACAATGATCACTTTCTCATTTAATTTCAATTTTTCGTAAGTCTTTCTTTTCAAATGATTCATGCGACTATTGTATGTATCTGATCTTTTTCAAATATCACCAACGCTTGACTGAAGTCAAATTGATGTTTGAGTGTATCCTTTTTTCATTTGTTTCCCTTTAATCCAAAACCAAAAACCATCAATAGGACAAACGTGTTATTTTCATGGAACCGGCTTACATGATGAATATATACCCAATTCCTCACTCATTGAGGGTGGAGTGTCCTCATGTTTATCTAGGGTTAGTTGAATAAGTGGTACACATCTTTCTTGAAGTTATGACATTGATTGGTATCCCGCAACAGCCCGCAGCCCATCCTCAAATTTTCCTTTCAAAATTGTTGTCATTTCAAATTTTCCTTTCTATTGGTTGCAAACAAAAAATGTGCAAAAGCACGGCACAATAGCCTGGAATGCGAAGCACTCTCGGGCTAAATGTCTTTTTGAGGCTGCTGATCGAAAAAGGTGGGCCGGTACACACCGGTATGTATCCGAGGTCCAGGCTACCCCGGGCGGTTATCCGTAAAGCTTGTAATATATATCGGGTCAGTTTCGGTATGTACATATACGGGTCAGTTTCGGCTATTTTTGAAAAATTCAAGAACGTGACATCATATATTTATTTGCAGCTGTTTACCACTTCTTTGCGCTATCTATATCCTTCTATATCTCGTTTGATAATTCTGGTCGATCGGGTCTTCTGCTTATCAAAATAAACTAGTGGTTAAATTTTGACGGCTATCGTGAATCACGTCAGTGCCTTCACCCTTTACATTTTGAAGAAATTGGTGGAATGCATCCTAATTGACCACGTTTTATTTTGTAACTCCGTAGGTTTTGGGAATCAAGATCTTATGCATGAAAAATTCTTAAAACGCACTGATTTGAAACAACTTGGATAGATTCGTAATCTTTCAAAGATGAATATTGATGTAAGCACCAGTGGACTCAAGGATGCTGCATAGATCGTTTCAGGAAGAAAGCATTTGTAAGTAAGAAAAGAAACCTATTCACTTCAAATACTATATAGTGAAACTGATGTTTGATTTTAACTTCGGCAACTAGATTTGATAGTTTGGAAGTCGACGATGTGATTTGAGAAAAGATAAGCAAAAAGATCTAATTGTTTCTCCTCAGGAAACAAGTTTAAAGAGTACATCCAAATTAGTCTATGAGGCTTTTGTTTCATGACTTATTTATCTTGTAAGCTCGTTAGATCTGATCATAAGATTCCATCTCGATTGAATTCTAAGAAGCAGATCTCCAATCTTTTTAATCTCACATGAAAGTTCGATTGATTGATCAGTAAAACCTAACAACCGGATCAGGATCAACCAATGATGGAAAAGATGATTCGCTCTAATTTTTGGATTTTCATGTTTGTTTTAATGTTTTGTGGATTGGGTGTGAAGGGAATGAGATTACCAAACGAGGAAGAATTAGGCGAAATTACGAATCAAATCAATCATCAAGTCACCAATCCTGATTTATCTTCCAATCTTATACCCAGTCATCAAGATCTTCATAATCAACCTGATCATCAAACAAAGGAGGGACAAAGTGATTCTAGTTAAGTTCATCACTCGACTTGATAACAAGACTTTTCCTTGAACTGATTTAATGATTCCATTTGATCTCACTTTAGATTCACCCACTTATTCAAGTCCTAACTCAATCCCAAATCCCGATTCAAACAATCAACTACGTTATCATCATGACACAGGTATATTGTTTCTTTATCCTGCATCGACGGTCTTTTATATTGATTCATTGATGTTCGATCCTCAACATCAACACATCAGATCATATGCCAACAACGTCAAATCGACATTCTTCAGATAACTCGCCATCAACTTCGATCGGATCTTCCCGTCCTTCTGGGCAACTTAATATTATCAATTCGAAAGTCATCCATTCAATCAACAGTTTTGATCCCAATACTAAGTTACAATCATTGACACCAGCAGATTCTCCATTACTTCGAGAAGCTAAAGCTCGATTGGATCTTGAAATTGACAACATGGAAAATCCTTTCAATAGGGATTTGATTAGACACTTTCGTGTCGAGTTCTTCAAGTCGTGGGACAGTGTACTAGAGGTAATGAGATTGGCTGATGCAAATAAAGCTGGAATTCCGACCGAATTTTTGAAAAAAGTGATTAATCCTATCATCAACCATCTCCTGATTCGACGCAATCTACCAGAAATCTTACCTCGACAAATTCCAGCTCAAACTCCTGTGATTAGAACTGTCGCACTTTGGGCTCAATTCTGGCGTTTGTTGGCTAACACCAATCCTAAACCGATTCTCAATGATAGTTACATTTCAGGTGCAATGGATTGGATTATCAATCTGGTACTGCGTCAATTTCCTATCGACATTCTTTCCGTTTATGAACGATCAATTTTAGATCCTACGAACATTGAACTTCGAATTTCTAAATTTATCACAGCGCTCGATCAATCTGATGTCTTAGGTAGACTGACTCAAGATTTGTTCAACGTCAATTTGAGGAATCAGGTTCATCATTTTTATGAGGGTCTTGTAAGGACCAATCAAGCACCACATACCGCTCTTGAGTATCTCAGGGCTGAACATCATGGTCAACATCGAAGGCTATTTTTCAATCAATACCAACAATATAGACAAGATGTAATTCTTCTTAGGTGTGCTTTATCAGGTTTACGTCCGTCAGATTATCAATCAGAGTGGAATCGAATCACACCCATCCATTCTGGAGAAATCAGACAAACACTTCGACGCCTCATGATTGATCGAGCAAGTCGTCTATTATTGAAGCAGTTAGAATCCACCCTCAAGTTGAAACAGCCATCATTTCAAAATGTACATCCATTCGCAACTTATCTAAGTGAATCATATTTACAAGTGGTCCAAAGAGATGTGATATCAAGTAGTACAGGTCAAAATTTTGATCAAATCGTTAATGTATATCTACTGCCCATGAGAACCTGGTCCACCATTTTAGAACATATGGATCCTGAAATCGAAGTCAAGCTAAGTAAAGATATGTTGATGTTTTTAGATGAAAAAGTACGTGAAGGCATCAAAGCAGAGTTTATTCATAATTGGATTTATATAATTTATTCCACCTTTGAAGAAATTCAAGTTGAGAACCGACTTGAAGAAACATTCATAAACAAAGAAATGCAGGATTGGTTATCAGATCAAGGAAGATTAATGTCTGAGAAATATTGGGATGTTGAGGACATCAAACCCATGACCAGATGGTTAAGTCATGAATTGAATCTATCACTTGTTAGAAATCGGCAAATTTTATTACCACCTGTACCTAAATTCTCGAGTTCAAATGTAAAGGAAGTTTCGAAAATGTCAAGACCATCTAGTTCTCAACCAATTTCAAAGTCATCAGCACTTATTCAATTCACAAAGTCAAAGTCAAAACTCGATACAGCTTCTAAAGATTTACATTTATCACCACCATCTAGATCTCATCAAGTTGAAAACATACCACCTGTACCGAAATTTACGGATCCGAAACCCAAATTGACTTCTCAAGATTTACGTATCTCGCGACCATCTAGTTCACAATATCGAGAAAATATACCACCAGTGCCCAAATTCAACCGTCCGTCAAATGTAGGCGTGTCTTCAGACGATCCACCTGTTTCAACCTCAAATCCGTCAAATCTAGGCTTATCTTCAAAAGATTCACATACTTCACCACCACCTAGTTCTCATCAAATGAATGAAGATGTGCCACCGGTACCCAAGTTCAAAAATCCGCCCAATCTAGGTCTCTCTTCAAAAGATCCAGATAGTTTACCTTCAACTAGTTCTCATCAAATGAATGAAGATCTACCACCGGTAACCAAGTTCAAAAACCCGTCAAATCTAGGCTCATCTTCAGAAGAATCACATAAATCACCACCAAGTAGTGATCATCAATTTCTTGAAACTTCAACACCTTCATCATCATCATCATCAGCTGTACCTAGATTCTCGGAATCCAGTTTAGAAGACTTTTTTCAACCGAAACTTGAATCGAGTCCTACTATTGCTCAAGAAGTGAATGAAGCAGAAGAAAAAGAAATCGATGGGTTCCTTAATGATCATGATCAATCTCAATCTGATGAAGAAGATTTCATGAATCCATCCAAAAAAAGAAAATTGATGGATTGATTGATTGGAAACCTAAGATGAGGCTTTCTTGAATTGAAGAAATGGGGTTTTCCTGTGTTGTTTTCTTATTAATATGCTCGTGTGTGTGAAAGATGAGTTCTGATTTTTTAATGGGTTCTTGATTGATTTTTTTAATCGGATTTGATTCTTTCTTTAAAAACAAAGTTTTTTATCTTTTTGTTAATTGGATTGATGAGTATGTATATCTCTCATATATAAGTATTTAATGATCAAATGATGAGATCCCAATTTGTTAAAGAAAACTTGAGAATTCAATAAACTAAAAACTTGAATGAGTAGAAGATCAATTCATCATGAAGATGATGATGATGATGTACTTTTACATATATCATGAGTTTTGATAAGAATAGATGATTTATCTAGTTTGATGATGTCTCCTGATCAGTGATCACCATTGCATTACATTGAAGAAGAAGAAGAAGAGGTTTTTGAAGCTTTAATACGTGTGTGTGTGTGATTTTTGTATATGTGTAGATACATACTTGATTGTTTGGATATAATATAGATAAGCCTAAGGAAGGTTGAGGTTTTTGGGATTCGATTTACAAAAGAATTAAAGATAAACTAAAGATTGAATTCTTGAATTGATTTTTTTCCCAATGATCTCAAAGAATATAAATTCAAAGCTCAATAGTTCCGATTGAAGTTTGTTACTTTTAGTAAAGGTTTCGGTGTTTTTCTGAATTTCATCAAGTATATGATTTACATAGGTATATACTCTAAAGATCAAATGATTTTGATTTTATAATGATGTCATGATCATGCAAAGGAAGTAAGAGAATTTGATAAAAGAATAATTAAGATCATGAAGTTCTGATCAGTTATGTATGACTATCACTAACACTCAAGCATATGGAATTTTTTTTTTGTACGATTTCTTCATGGTTAACTTGATGATAAAATTAATTAATTAATTGATCAACTTGATTGGAAATGAACACGATGATAAAGAAACATGTAGATTGATAGATCCGTGATAGCAGATCATTCAAAGTGAACGGGGTTTTTTTTTTGTTGGTTTACCATGAGAAGTTTAGAATGAAAAATGCTGAAAAGATGTACAAAATGAAAATCCATTATGGATCAAGAATCAGCGAGAAAGAGACACCGATGGAAGGAGCGACAACGACAGCGAGGAAGTTGTGTGGATACATTGTAGTTGAATGTATAATGAAATTTATTTTAGAGTTCTTTCTTTTTGTATAATAAAGAGTAAAGAAGCTTGAAAATTCATAAGATTCAAGAAATGAAATACGAATTGATAAACTCGTGTTCCAAAGTCTCATCCGCCCGAGTGATAAGACTATATATATATACATATATATGAATGATAATGATAATGTATTGTAGATACAAAAGGATGAAGATTTTTTTTTGTAAAAGAAAAAAGGTGGTCAAGTCAACCGAAGGGTTGGTAACCAAGATGGAAATATATTAATGAGTTCACATAAAGTTAAATAGTATATAAATTTAAAGCTATACTGAATTCATTAACTCTTGGTTTCTTTAGTTACTCAAACAAACAAAAGAAATTTTATGTAAGAGTTGTGGTGTTGATCGGTTTTCTTTAAAATCATCATTCGGTTTCGATCTTTTATTTGCTGCTTTTACCATCCTCATCTTCAACCAAATCAAATCAAATCAAAACCAATCAAAACAGTTTGAAAATCAAAGAAAGCTTTATTCTTTTGTTCTTTTGTTCTTTTTACTTGCTTAAGATTTCTTTTTTTGAGATAAATCTATTGATTGAAATCAAGAAAAGATAGGATTTCAATTTGATTATTAAATTTATGTAATTTAATAAGCAAACAGATTTAAAGAAATTTTATTACGAAAGAATCTTTTTCTTTCAAGAATTGATTTGGTGAATTTCTGAAGTTTGTATCATTAGTACTTCTTTTTTTTCTTACCCATGATTCTCGATTGATTGATTGATTGATTGATTTTGTTGTTGTTGATTTTAGATTTCAAAAAGAAAATCAGTTGAGATCTTGATTGAAGTTGTGATAAATACAAGGTAAAGTACAAAATCATACAATCAATTGTTTCAAAAACTTATTCTAATCTGAGATGAAATCTTCTTTATATAATTTATAGTATTGAATTCTTGAGATAAGCCTATCGGAAAGATAAAAGCAGAGCACAGTTCGTTCGACTACGCAGGTTAGTGATTTGAGTTGTATTTTAAAAACTCAGAATGAAGAATGGTTTGAACTTAAAACTTCAATCAATACAACTTCCGAATCCGATCTTTCTCATGATTCATCACCATAAATCAGATTATCAGCTTGACCTTCCTAGTTATATACAATCACAATTTACTTATTGATTATCATTTCGATTAAATTCTCAATCAAACTTGTTTGATTGAATCAAGACTACACACAGTCTGATTCAACTGTAGTCCTGTACAATCGGATGGTAGTCAAGTTTCTTTTTTCTTCTTTTCTTCATCGCCACTCAACCTAGAACGCCACAGTTTAAAAAAACCATTTGAATCGAAAAAATAGAAACGAATTTAAAGAAATCTAATCTAAAAAAAAAAAAAAAATTAGATCACTTAAAAATTAGATCACTTTTTTTTTTTTTTTTTTTTTTTTTTTTTTTTTTGGTTTTTGGTTTTGAGTTTCTTTGATTTTGATTTTTGAATTTGAATTTGAAAAGAGTGATCAACAAAAGAAATTCAAATTGACATGGAACAACCAATCACAATCAAATCAAAATCAATCAAAACCATACAATCACAACCTATCATCACTACCAACACTACCAACACCACCACCAACACCACACCATCATTTTCATATCTTAACGATCTCATACCAATCTCACAATTCTCAACTACTACACCTCACAAAATGACCACTACTACTACTCAATCACCTTCAAATCATCATCAACCCATTCAAACAAATCAACTTACTTTACCATTCCCATCTTCTTCAACTTCTTCATCAACCACAAAAACAACTACAGCAAAAACCATTAACACTTCATCATCAAAACCTACTAGTAATCACACTTCAACTCCGATCAACTCCAAATCAGATCGAAAACCATCTACTTCTTCATCTTCTTCAAACAATACTAGTCATACTAAACCAATCAAACCACCGGCTCAATGTTCATTTTGTGGTATGACATTTAAAAAATTAGAACATTGTCAAAGACATGAAAGAACTCGTGAGTCTGATCCGATCATCATCTTTCTTGAAAACTCTTAATCATTTGAAATTGATGAATGGAATTTGAATCTTTAGATACGCTTGCAAGACCATATACTTGTACAGTTTGTCTTAAAACCTTTGCTAGACAGTCAGTGCATTATTTAATTTCCAAATTTCAAGACTTTTTTTGTTTTCTAATTTAACCTTTTTGTGTTTTTGTTTTGTGGAAATAGAGATACACTCAATCGACATTTAAGATTACATACTCGACCAGAAGATGGACAAGCGACTAAATCCAAGAAACGAAATCATCGGAATTCGATCAGTTCAACGAATACCACACCACCTACTCCCACTCATTCATCTTTACCAAGTATCAATTTACCTAGTTCATTTAATCCATCACCTTATTTTTCATCACCTCAAGTATCAAGATCAAGACCGGCAAGAGAACGAGGGTTTTCGTTATCAGCGATCGATGAACAATCTCCCTGTAACACCAATCATCCAACTTATCATCCACTTCCCTTCTCCACTCAACCACGTCAATCTATAAGTTTACCGCCACATTGGAATCAATATCCATCTAATCTGGTCCAACCATCTGCTAATCCTAATCCTAATCATAATCATCAGAATCCTTCGGAAGTCTTGAATCATAGTTGGGAATCGAATTCCAATCAGAATCATTTAACATCCACTTCACCTCTCATACCCAACTTATCTTCACCTGCTCCATTAGATTCGAATTTCTTGGCTGAATTAAGTTCATATACTTTAACCGATTTACCATCAAGTACAAGCACACATCCAAGCTTTCAATCGATTCCTACCTCTCATTCTCATTCACATTCATCTTCCAGTTTATTACCACCACCTATGTCGGCTCCTCCTACCTGTACTACATGGGGAGACCTAGCACAACCGTTTCATCCCAACTCTTCTTCAAATCATTCACCACATCCTTCTCATCTCTTACCCCATCTTAATCAAGAACACGATTTACTTCTCGATCCTTGGGCTCATCCTACTTCTGGTTCTTCTTCGAATCCTACTTGGTTTAATTCCACTTCTTCTTCTGCTACTGCTGCTGCTGCTGCTTTACATCCTTCTTATCAACTTTCTGCTATCCATCCTCATCATCCACTTTCGACTAGGAATTTAGAACACCAAAACTTACTGGGCTCTACTTCGGGTTCTGGGTCGGGGTTTAGGAGTAGATCTACTAGTCAACCTGAAGGATTTCATGATTGGAATTTATCTAATCCTTCTACTACTTATCATACTTGAACCTTTTTTTGGTTTTCTCAATTTTTTTGGTTTTCTTGAAATCTGATCAGATGCGAAAAAAATCTTGTAAGGTTTGGTTTGGTTTTTAAAACATATTTTTTTTTTTTGCTTTGGTTTTTTTTCCTGTTTTTGATTCGGGTTTGCTTGAATAAGTTTTTTTTTTTTTTTACATTTTTCTTGATGACTCTTTTTTTTTGGCTGGCTTGCTTACTTGTATTTCTTTCATCTCTCTATTTCTCGTTTTTTCTTCTCTTTACCATTCTGGTTTCTTCTTTCATGTCTTTTTCTCCAAACACATATATCTCCTCTCTATCTCTCTGTCTCTCTGTCCTGGTTTTTTTGTATTTTTTTCTCTCTCTCTTGAATGGGGTTTTAAACATTACAAAGTTTAAAGAAGTCTTGGATATTTATTTATGAATTAGAACACACTTTTTTCCTTTTAGATTTTTTTTTAGATTTTTATTTATTTATTTTTTTGATTTGGTTTGGTTTGATTTGATTTGATTTGATTTGAATAAGACATATAAGACAAGTAAAAGGTAATTGAAAGAGTTGTGAGAATAAGAGGGTTTCTAGTTTTGTTGAAATCTAAAAAAACTTATATAGGTCCGGTTTTTCCCTTGAACTTGGTGAGACAGGTGGGTTTTGTATTTGGCAAGAGTACCATGAGATGCAGCTTACATATAAGCTTTAATGTCAATTCTCAATGGTGGTTGTTTTGAATATGAACAACCTATGTCATAAGGATTCAAGAGCTTTACAACCTTTTACATACCATCTTTCTCATGGTTCAAGATGTATTTTTTACATAAAGAATGGATGGAGATACTCAAGTATTTTGGAAAAATACCTTTGAAGAAAATGGTTTACAAGAATGGTTAAGTAGGTTAATAAATTTATTGAGATAGGAATGAGAGTGTGATAATTCTGGAAACAAAAAGTCATACCTTGCTGTGGGTAGCTATGGGCCTGAATTTGTGATTTTTAAAAGTTTGTATAAGTTTTATAAAAGGAGGATTTCTTTGCTAATTACAACTTCCTATAAGATCTTTTATGAAAAACCCAATTTATGTTCATTTGGTTGTTCAGTAAAGGGATTGAGCCAAGTTTGTTGGGTATCATCTACTATCCAGAGGCAAAGTGATCTATCTTGACCACCAAGAGTGTTCCTGAATGCCTTACCACTCCTGCCTGATTTTGTCAATTGACTATATTACAATTAGTGCACATGGACCAAATCCAATGTGTTTCCCTGCTTCACCTTGCCCATGGAACAAACTTGACTCAAGCCCATCTTTGCCAGTCTAAACAGGTTGAAAAATCAAACACAGCAAATGAAAAGTTTAATCAACTGGGGAGGAAGGTAGTACTACTTTACCATCTTTGAAATTTAGTGGTAAACCACAGAAACATGCCTTTGTGTTGCACTTAAGTCAATCACAGCCAGTCACTTGGAATCCTGGCCCAAGATTTGATTAAAACAATCATGGGTTTGTAATTGAATAGATTATCAAAGAGTCTCATCAAAAGAAACTCATGGGTGCTGCATCCAACAAAGACAACAGGTTGAAGCTTTTAGTTATGGAGATCACTGGAATGTCTTTGATACTCTAGTCAACAGTTGTACATAACAATGGGTAGGTACTGCATAACAATTGAATTCCATTTAATTGTATAGTTCACGCTCACACCCGGTGCCACAAAGCCACGAGGCGCCCTGGAGGGGCACATGGCAAGGGCCAGGGCTTAGGCCACACCGTGGCCCACACACGGACCCCTTCATAGCCTTCAACAGGCATGGAATTCAGTCAAAGTCCCCCTAAAGATGGTCTTAAGCAGGGAATGGCGACCAAAAAAGCAGATCTGAGGTTCTTTGGATGGAAGGCCACATTGGGCCACACCATGCTAGGCCATGGCCCTGGCCACGCCCTGGGCCCCGACAAGGCTGCCGGGTGTGAGCGTGATGTAAGTTGCTAGTCCCGAGAAGCGTGTAATCTCGGACCAAGCGGATAATTTCTGTAAAATCGATGCCAAGCCACAAAACTCACTCGATTTGGGAGCCGAGGATACTGTTGGCATCCTTGCATCAGTGGCAATCAGGAAATGCAATCAGAACATGAATATTACATATTCTTGTTTTACTTAGGTTCTACAGCTCTACAAATCGGCCTCCAAAAAGTGTAATTCTTGATAAAAATTGAAGAGTAAATATTTTATGAATTGCTGATGATACAATAAGTATGCAGTCCAAAAATGGAAAGAAAATGTACATGTTTGATTGAAATACAAAAAAAAAGGGAAAAAAAAATCATTTTTGAATTTGCATCAGTTTCCAATTCGAGTGAAACTACTTGATGAGACTTGTAAAGCTGAGTTTTGGGGTTGGGGCCAGGTTGGGCTTTCATAGCCTCTCTGTGAACATCAAAAAAGTCAGATTCAGCAAAGAAAACTTTTGAAATCGAGCCAAGAGGAACATACATAAGATCAAGCATCTTTCCATCAGCGTGGCGAAAGAAGCGACGGATAGTTGCAAGAAGACAGGTTTTCCTGATCCTTTTGAATAAATCCTTTGCCTCTTGAAGATTTGTGCATTCAAATCTATGGTTTTGATAGGCTAATTTGATCATCATCAGCTGAGTTTAGAAAAAAATCCCAAAAGTAGCAATAAAAAACAAACCTGTTTTGATGTAACACCACAGGAGCTCAATAGGATTGAGCTCACAATGAAATTTTGGAAGAAATTTACATATGTGGCCTGCATCCTCAATCACCTGCTGAAGCAATGGCTTCTTGGTCGCGAAGTCAGATTGTGTTGATAATACCTTGTGAGCACAGCAACCTGGAATGTCAACTTTGGGTAAAGCATCCTGAGGATTTGAGTGATCCTCTTTTGAAGGGACTTCGGCATGTCAAAGTAGGCACTCAGCTCGACCAATCTTATCTTTGGCACATCCAGTCTTCTTGCACTCATTACACTTTAATCCCATCTCTTTTTCACCCCTTGTAGCCCGTATCTTATTGTAATGATCCCACAATCCACGTTCAATCAGCACTTGCCCGACTCCCTTTGGCTTACCAGCAAGGTTTTCCTTTTCAATAATCTGTCCACCTTTTCACTTCTTTGAGGGGTTGAGTCAATCTAGTCCAATGGGAAATTCATATGTTGGACCTTTCCACAAAGCTTGGCCGGGATATTTGGGTTGTCAGAAGGTATGACAGTGTCTCAAAGTTTTGGCTTTGAACCTCCGGGTTTGAAATTCATCTTTGAAAGCTGAAGGGCGTCCAAGGCAAATGATTCATGAGCAGCTGAGTAATCAAAGATAAAGCAAGCTTGGGATGTTGGATGATTGTGACTGAAAATAGGAATGGCTTGAGTGACAATCTGGTCAATGAGTTGCTTGCAATCCCACCATGCTTCCCCCTTAGCTCCAGGATATATTGTAACCACAGCATCTTTGAAAGGAAGGTCCAACTTTGAATCTGCCTGTAGGACAAGTAAAACAGTTGGAAGACAGACAAAATCCGAGATGTGTATCAACTTGCCAATACTTTTTGTATGGAGCGCACAATCCTTGTCTGTCATCCAGGCAGTTTGAGATTGCTCATTTGTATGAATTGTTGATTCATCATGATAGATTTGAATGATTTCTTGAGCTCCATCTTTTATTTCTGCATATTCTAGCTGGTCCATCATATCTCCAACATACCGATGTTGGTGTTTGCATAGTTCATTAATCTCTTTAAAGAATTGTTTCCGATAGATGACAACATCTGCATGTTTGTGACCATCATAGTATAAAGATTTCTTATACTCTTGAACATGAACACCCATTTGGTGCATCCACTTGTTGGCAGTCGGGATGGATATAGTGTTTGGATACTCTTTGTAGTTCGGGAGGAGTTTGATATTTACAAAGTGGGCTAGTTTAGCTGGTGAAAACTTAAGGGACAGAAACGGAGAGATTGGTTTGCTTTAGTAACGGAAGTAAACAAGAAGATGAAAGACAAAAAAAATCACCTGACTGACCAGCCGATCTGCAATCCAGTCAGTGATTGACTTGAGAACTTCTAAATTGTCTAGAATTGAAGGGTGAGGAGACTTTAGTCCACAATGATTGATTGAAAGACAGTGTTCTTTGATGATGTGAGCTGTGTCAGATCGGATTCTAGCAGCCAGGCGCTTTCCACTTCCATCTTCCGGTGGATCCTCTTGGCAAACACGGTAGGAGGCAACTGTTTCAAAAGATGCCTGCATTGCACAAGGCTTTGGGTTGGTGAGGTTAAGCCTTTGTTGAATGTTGTTGAACTCGCGTATGAGTCCAAGTCTGTCAAAATCTTTGATAGCAATAGTAATCAACTTTGTGTGTGCTTTGGAATAAGATGAAGCATCTGCAATGGCATCCAAGAGTTCCTTGTGTTGTTGTTCAATAGCATTAATTTGAAATTCTGTCTTGACAGGTGATGAAATGACACTTTGATCTTCTTGCACAACCGGATGAGAATGATTATTGAAATCACATGTGTGAGAGCCGGAAAGTGAGTTTGAATCAGAGTCAGAGAGAGACGTTAAGCTGGATTCAGAAAGATTCCACCAAATCTTGCTGTCCAAGGCAGATGACGAGATGAAGTCTGATTCAGAATTGGAGAGAGACAATAAACTCAATTTGCTATCAGAGGCCGGATTCAAATTGCTGGGTAGATTGCGCCAAGGCTTGGGTGGGTCAAATTTGACTTGCTTTCTCTGTTGGAACTGTTGATCATCCTGGGACTTTCTTGAGTGTGCTTGATGCATGGGCAAACTAATGATTGTGATTTTTATTGCATATATGGGCTGAATTGATTGATTTTTGTATATCACCACACCACACAAAAATGAAATACAAAAATGATTACACTTTCAAGATATCCGGTCCAAAATTACACGCTTCTTGGCACTAGCAACTATACAAATTCTTCGAACAGATTATCACTTGATGGTAATTGAGTGTTTTGAAACATATTGGAATTTGATTAAGAGTGAATGTACTGACATTAAAGTTTATTGGAATAAGATTGACATGGGATTAATTCATAAGGATTGAGTTGAAGGTTTTTTCATGGTTGCAGAGAAGAGAGAAAGTGTGGATTTTAAGATTAGCTTGAATTGCAAAATTGTGATGCAAAATTGTGATTGAATCCTCTGAAGATGAAAAAATAGCATGTCCTTGGCTTCAGTTGTGAAGGAAGCCAGCCTCATTGAAGAAATTGAATCACAAAAAGCCAAGTTGAAGGTAGCTGAAAATGATGAAAAAATTGAAATAAAAAAGTAATCGGCTCAACCTACTTTGAAGGAAGCTAAAATTGAGGATCAAAATGAGGATCAGAAACTCATGGATTACACAGAACCCTTCTTAAATGCTGAATCACCTGCCTTTTCAAAAAGGCATTGATGAGCCAACTGACACACAGCTCAATCAATAACCTCCTTCTCCTCAGCAAAGCATCAAGACTAAGGCAAAGGTACAATCCTAGTTCAATGATTTGGAGGAACAAATCAAAGAAGAAGTAGACCTAAACTCTTGATCCACTCCAAAACCAAAAACCCAAAAAACTGAAAAGGTTACAGAGGCTTCAAAGGCCATTGTAAATCTACCATTGAAACCCATGCCACCTGTGAATGAGGACAATGTTTGATGTACAAAGCCAGTGGCAAACACAATGATTGAGTCTTAAAAATCATAAATCCTATTTCTAATGAAAAGATAAGAAAAAAAGAATAAAAAGAACTTCAAGAAAAGCAAGTTAGTTGGCAAAGAGAAGTATTTGGCTTGGAAACTGCTTGAATGGCTAAGATGAAGCCAGAGGACTTGGAACATGAAGCTCATGTTGCCAAAGCTCAATGTACATGTGATTTGAATCTTGCTGCAGCTGAACCAGCTGAAGAATAAAGAAAAGATCAGCCAAAGCCAATGAAAAAGTTCTGTAAATGTGGGATGTCAATTGAAGAAACTAATGCATACATCCAATTGATGTTTCCTAGCACTTTATAGATCAGTCATAGTTTGTATTTCTTCTCTAGATTTGTCTGACAATCACATTGCTTTTGATTGATCAGACTATACTCTTCCAATTTAAACCCAATGCCATGATTTTAGTGAAAGAAAATCATGATTCAGAGTAGCAGGTTGAGATCTCAACATAAAAAAAGCTGTATTGAAAAAATGAGCAAGCAAGTTTTTAATCCAGAAGTAAATGTAATCAAGCCAGTTTGTAATCAAATCCAAAGCTGTTTTTTTGGTTTTCAAAGCTAAAGACTTTTAAACGTTTTTCAAAACAAAAGTTGTGGATGTTTTTGTGAACATAAGCATTTAGTCTTAGGTTGGTTTGAAATCAATAAAACTATAAATCGCTTTGTACCATTTTTTGATATTTACAAAAAATGATCAATAAATAAAGCAAAACAAAGATTATCAAGATACGTGAATAAAAAATTACAAAAAACTTGTTAGTATAGACCAGCAAAACAAGAGCTCTGGATCCCAGAATGCCTGCCTAGTACCACTACACACAACCACATCCTGGAATTCCAGATTTGACAAAGGAGATGGCTCACACAGGAAACAAGACATCATTTTCCTGTGGGAAGACTGGTCACATTTAATGCAGTTTCTGAGCCAAAACACAGAAATAATGCAGGATAAAATGCCAAAATAATACATTTAGGCTCATAAGCTGTGTTGAATATGATGGGTTTTCCCACAGAAAAATCATATCTTGTTTCCCGTGTGAGTCTAACAATACAGAGGCTGCCCAGCCCAACCTACCAAGTCTGACAATTAACACTAAATGCAGAGAGGTGATGCCACAGGTGCAGGGCTGACCCCACATTGACACCCCTTGGGTTTTATGTGGCATTGCTGCAATCCCACAGATCTGCATCCACAGGGTCAGCACTTTGAATGTGGTGGAAAGACATGTTTTTGAAATGTCACTCACTTCTCTGGATCACATGGGGGTTGAAACTCTGGGTGGTGAGCCAGAATTTACATCACCTGTTTTCAGAGATGCCTTCCCAGGTCCTCAAAAGCCTCAGATTTTGCAAATTTTTGCATTTTGGACATGTTGGACTGTGTTGTGTTGCAGTTCAGAGCAACACAACATTTTGGAATTGTGAACCATTGTGGAGACACTACAACACAACATAGGCCCCTGTAACATCACCCACAACACACAAACCTCCTCATTGTGTAGTGTTGGTTTGTGCTTGTGCGTTGATTGGAGCATCAACCTTGATCAGACACACTGTCAGTATTTACAAGTTAAAATGAAATTATTTGTGATCATTCAAAGCTACAAAATAATTATGCACCAATTCACATCACAGATCACCCGCATTAAAATTTTCTGCCTCTACATCAATATATAGACACATCACTGCCATCTCATCAATTGGTTCCTAAATATCATCTTGATACTCTCCCTTGCAAGAATCACCTAATTGAGCCAGCATGTTATGAAGTAAGATGCAGACATGAACCCAGTCCAAGAAGAACTCTATATCTTCTTTTACATTGAATTGCAATCACATCTCTTGCAAGGATGCAAACCGGCCGTTCAGGATTCCAATTACGTTTTTGACACCAACGTAACATTCAAGTCATTCATATTCAGCCTCTGGCCTTTGTTTTCTAAGAAAATGCTTTTGTCTTTATTGCTTACAAACTGATCAGGAAAAATTTATGGACTAGTATAACTTGAAAGATTGGCCATCTAGTCGAAGTGAGGTGTATTTAGAAGGTATCAAGAAAGATAAAGAAACAGGGACGTGTCTGTATGTTTTGCAAAATCAATCGGGGTCGTCCCTTTGAGCAACGAGTCGGGGCTCAAACTGACACAGACTCAGTCCAGCATTCGCGCCTTGTATGTTGTCTTTCAACTTTCAAGGTCATCTGTTTAGACTACTTCGCCTCACTCGCCTTAATACCTGATCAGACTTTCGCAACCCTCTTGTAAATGAGTAACGCACATTCTTCGAACCTCAAGGCGCGATTGACGCAGGCGGACAGGATTTTAAATGGAACGATGTCTATGCGTCTTCAACGCGAAAGAGATAGTTTGATTGAGGAAGAGAATGCTTATAGGCGCCAGGTTCGAACCACTCTTCTTCATGAACTATCCAGCATACTAATTGAGTTCTCGACTGATGATTCTTAACCTTTTTTCAATTTTTTAGTTAGAGAATATTTCAGGATTTGGAAAAAATCATATTATTCCAATTGGAAAACTACAAAGATTAGATGAAACGGATACAGAATCAGAACCAAGTTCAGAAACAGAAAGAACAAATAGTCCGATGCAAATTATACCAGGATTAATACTTGAAGAACCTACTACTAATACCACTCCTACTACTGTTGAGCGTCCTATTAGGTTTAGATGGAATGAAGAAGAAAGTCAAGAAAGAATGAGTGATTCAAATGAAATGTCTGGTATTGATTTAGACGCAGATGTTGAAGATCTTGATAATCATATCCAAGATGAAGATGGGAGTGAGGAAATTAGGTATACGGATGAAGTTAGTGAAGATCAAATTGAAGGCGACAGTAGGTCTTTGTATGAAGATGAACTCAGTACTAGGTGATGTTGAGGTGGCTCCAATAGATTGCATGGAAGAGGTGTTTTGTATAAGTAACTTGAGATGAGGTGGAATTATATTGTATAAGTTAAATGACATCGATTTTTTCAAGACAAGGACGTCGCAGTAGTTATTACCCGTATCGTTTATAACGCTTGGCAGCAGTCTAGTTTGTCAGAGTCTTTCGTCTGCATCGATCTGATCTTCAAGGTGGAATTGCATCTCTAGTCAACATTCAGCAGTCAAGCACGCCATAAATGATGTGGGTTTATTGAAATCAGATCGAAATTCTATTTAACAATTCCTCCTGATTGATCCACATTCTACTGCCTGGAAATCGTTGTACCGATGAAGACCAATAACTTATATCTAACAATCTCATGGATGGATGTGATGAACGATGAGATGATGTGGCATACCGGGGCTAATTCCACAGCCTTGGCAAGACAGCTTGGTACCGTGTCTGAAATCGGGTCGGGCTTTACACGGGCGAATACTGCGATTACGTCATCGGGGGTTCTAGCTCATCGGTAGACACCACGTGCAAACAGGTGTCGCACCATTTGTTACGTCAGGCCGACGTATACATTGTTCCCGCGTGTGAGACACCTGTCAAATCTTTGCGACAGTCAAATAGACTATGCGACAGTGGGATCAAGCTATGCGACAACGCATGCGACAGCTTTGACAAACTTGTGCGACAGCGCGGCGAGCTGATTCTATGCCTCTCCCGAGTCCCTACTCTCCCTCTTGGGCACTCAGCTCAACCTAGACTTGAAGTCTCATTCCTCAACATGAAGAGGTTGCCCAATGGGCTGAAAGACTGGAAACGGGTAGAGTCCAACACTTGTAGATGTAATCATCTCATCCCCAAAAAATCATAGCTTTGTAACTACAAATTCAATACTTTGTTCTCGATCTTTTCAATACAACACATCTCATTTCTTTTCAAGGATATTGTAGATAAGCCCTATTGATACCACTTCTGTAAATGATTTACTCCTACTCAGCTAACGTTGAAGGACTCGGAGCTCACTGACCACGTCTTTTGTACTTATGCGATGTAGGTACCAGCGGCTGATTCTCCAGCGAATGCGACTGCGGTGAATTTCTGATCGATTTTCATCTTTGATAAATCCATATGGCTTATTTCTCAATCTTTCAATTTTTGCAGGCGACTCCCGCGCGTCGTAGTCTACATATTGGAGACAAAAAGTATGTCAATTTTGAAAGTATTTTCTGAACCTTGATATAGAGATGTTAAATTGATTGAATTGGCTTGTAATAGTATTGTTCCACTGATTCAGGGTTTGAAAAAAGAAGAACAATCGAATCACATCTATCCAAATCTCCTCATCTGGAAAGACGCAAAAGAAAGCTCAGCAATCTCGCCCTTTGTCCGTGATACCTCTGAAAGTCTCCTTTGATTCGATGTCTACTTTTTTGACCAAATCTTGTTGTAAAGACAATATATTTGAGTTGATACACGTGAAGGCCAAATAAAAGTCTTTCCACGGGTGCTTTTCTTTTGTATCAAACAACATCAAAATGAAAAGAGCAATACAGATATGAGACCGATTTTGTACGCTTGATGGACATCTGATGATCGAATCAAATCGAATGAAAGATTCAAACAGTGCTACCAATCATTATCACAATGATTATGATCAATTTTAAAACACTACAATCCAAATAGAAGATGGCTTTGAATGAGGAATACTTTAAAGATAACAATAGAAATTGACATATGAAAACAAATCTAATCGATCATCATTCATTTCTATTGTTGAACATACATAAGAACGAGTACAAATGAAGACCAAAGCAAAAATCTCAACATTTTGGGAACAATGCGAGGAAAGGAAACAGCGATTCACTTTACTTGACATCATAAAATCCAATCAATTGACTGTGTATGAGTTTGTTATGGGACACTCGAAAACCGTAACCACTTCAAGAAGCGGAGAAGGTAATAGTGTAAGTAAACATCACAAGAAACCGGCTATCAGTTGATGTTTTGTGCTTGAAAAACTCAAGAATATCATTCAATTTCTCAATGTTGAACGGACTGCCGTGTATTGATTGGTTCGTGTCTTGAGAAACCCAAAGAATTTTTACTCTTTGTGACCTTCATCAATATGGCCACGGACTTTATTGATAGTTGTGGATCTGATCAGGTTTGAAAATACAAAATTTCGTACCCTTCTACAAGATGTGCTATGGAGATTTTCAGATTGTGTCCCTAAAACTTTCATTTGAGTGGTATCCTCCATTGTACCTTAGCTCATATAGGGATATTGGCGCGAAATCAACCATTGAGCAGAAACGAGCGGAGAGAGGGGATGTGGCTGGATGGGCGTCAAGCGCCGAAGACTTGTATGCGACAGCCCGTGCGACACCCTATCGCACAAATTGTGACGCTGTCGCAAAAAACTCACAGCTGTCGCAAATATTCTCACAGCTGTCGCAAACCGAGGAACACTGTATACGTCAGCGCGTAGTAACAAATGCTGCGACAGCTGTACAATGCACGTGGTGAGAGCGCTCGCTTAGCATCTTCCTCTGTGGGGTTGCGAGAGGCGCTGGGTTCGATTCCCAGGTACTCCACATTGCCTGTATCTTACTGCTTTGTTCCAAGCACTTCTCAAAGTTTAGTCGTGAAAAAACCTCGTTGGGCTGTGTCAAGCAAACAGTTTTTTGGTGAAATGGAATGGTGTTTAAAACTCCTTCAAAATACTCCAAAGTATGGACCTGGTTGTGGACTTTGCATCAATCCAGAAAAAACATTGTGTGTGCCAAGCTAGGATTCTTGTATGTTGAATTTGAGGACCATAATTGATTGTATAAAAGCTGTTTGATATGTGAACTTGAGTGTTGAAGGGATTTGAATTGAATCATGACTAGTATACAGTTCCAAGCAGTGGTGTGTTCTCATCACTGTGCCTGTATGGTTGTGACTTGACACACAAAAATGCATCAAACTGCTAGGGAATTTCAAAACCCTCAAATAGATTCCACCATAGACTCATCTGAAAAATTGATCAAAATGGTATTTAGGTACCAGAATTGTCTATAACTCATTCTACTTCCTTCATACTTATATCCTCAATGACCCCCTGAATGAGAAATTCAAATATAGTGTCAACTTTTTGAAAATAATTCATTTTATGAGTCAAAAAATCAACTTTCAGAAAGAAACCGATTGCAAGTGTATTGAATATAGCCTTAGGACCTCAAGATCTTGAGACCTAAATGAGAGAACAGAGTTTGAATTTGGGTCTCAATCAGAGGTTTTGAACACTTTTGGATTACAATGGGTATGATAGAACAACAATATATTGTGTTGTGATAAAGTGGTGTAAATTGAATTGGTAGTGTTATGGTGGTCAAGTTCATCATGGCAAGACTTTGATGATGGATGTGCCAATTGCTCATTGTGTATGTGTGCTAGTGATCCAGTGGTTATGTTTTGTGGCATAATTTTTGTGTGCAGTTCTATCTTATATACTTTCCTCTCTCAAGCTCCAGTTTCCTCCCTCACCATGTGGAACTGAAAGCTTAATTAAGAGTAGGTCCTTTGAATTTTTCTCCTCATCCAGTTCTTATCTTCACCAGACAGCACTCATTCTGTTGTGTTGGATTTTTTCTTCCCTACCACACTTTATCTACCCTGCTGTGTTGCAAGTAAGGCATAGAACTTCATTCCACCTGTTTGTCTTCTTTTGAGTTTCTTACAAAACTCCACATCAACCTGTCTGTCCAGTTTGTTGCGTAGATTTCTATCTGCATCACTTCATTACATAGTGCACCCAATGGTTTCATAGTACTCAGGTAAAGAAATCAGACATGGATTTGATGCTCTCAATCCTTCCTGTCATCCTGGTCTTGGGCACATGACTCTGCACACCAGTTCATTCAGCAATCAGTGCTCACCCTGAGTATGAATTGATCAATGTGTAAGTAATGGACCATCAAGAGCCCCCATGTTGTGGCTGCATATCTTAGTGACTTCATATTGTAACAGATTGCTTTACTTTATTCTTTTGGTATGGTGAGCTGATTGTTGTCATCTTGTATGATTGACAATGGTTATGGCATTTTTGCTGGTTGATAAAAAGAGATTCATCATGCAACTGAGGAGTAAGGCTTGGACCTGGCACCAGGACCACCCGAGCGGGCCCGGGCTCAAACGGCCCTTTCAAAAAGCTATGTGGCCCGATGGCGCCGTGCTCACGGGCGGCCCGAAGGGGCTCGAGGGGTTGGTGGCACTAAAACGGGGGCTCAGCGGCTCGGAAAGGGGGCAAATAGGGGCGAGCGGACTCAATAGAGCAAGAAGATGAGGTTGGGGCACATATTCAATTCAACTTTGACTGATGTATGTATACAAAGTAGAGTTGATTAAGTAAATTTATCAAAACTCTTGAGGCATACCGTTGCTTCAAGAGTCGAGATGTGCATTGAGGCGCGAAGATCAGTGATGATCCTACCCGCAGATGAAAATGATCGTTCGGATGGGGTGCTGGTGGCTGGGATAGCTAGAAAGATTCTTGCCATCTTGGCAAGAATGGGAAATCGATGGCCCTCGTCGCTCCAATAGTTGAGTGGGTGATAATCCTCGCTCTCTCGCTCGGTTGAGAGGTATGTTTGAAGCTCAGCCTCGATTCCTTGAGCCTTCTTTTTGGTGACAAAGGATCGAGGGCGATCTTCAGGCAGTGGTACAGGTTCTTCGGGGTTGACCAATATGCTATCTTGATGAAATTTTCTACACTTGTTCAGAAAGAGTGTTTTCCAATCGTTACGATCATCGATTCCGGAAAGGACTAGAGTTTCATCAGTCAACTCTTGGTCCTTGCTACGTGGGTCAAGCAGAAGCGCACACAAGTACGCTGGCTTTTTGAGGACCCTCTCGTAGTACAATTCGGTCTTGGTTTTCATCGGTTGGATGGCTTGTCGGAGCTCTTGAGCATCGTAGTTACACCAGCTCTAGAAAAGTACAAGTTTATCCAGTGAGTAAAGTGAGATTTAAAAAAAAGATCAATCAAGAAATGCAATTGAGAACACAGCATACCGAGTTCAACTTCCTGATGATCCATTCGTATACTGGGATCACATCGCCAAGGCTCGGGTATTTGCTTGCTGAGAGATCCTTGGTGGTAATCTCAAAAGGTTCAAGAAATTCGACTAGGTGCCCTATAAGCTTCCATTCATCATCTGAAAAGGCATACTGCCTGTAGTCGGGATCGTTTTGACATTTCGTGTTGATAGATACCCGTAAACGATATGCTCGGCGATAACAATCGAGGTCGGAGTTCCATCGTGTGTCGACATTGCGGACAAGGTGGAGAGCATAGCCTAAGTCAGCCTCAACTTGCTTGAGGAAAGATTGTAAGCGCTGAGGTGATTTGTAGATCCAAGCAATAAGCTTGTGGAGTTGAGTAAGGACCAAGTTGACATCAGAGGTTTGCATTGGTTCAAGAAGAACAGCAAGGTCGCGTGGGACTGGTCCATCTTCACCAAGTCTTTTGGAGAACGCCTTGAGTCCATCTCGAGCAACAAGGTTAATAACATGTGCAACACATCCAAGGAGATTTTGATCTCGCTTGAAGTTTGGACACACTGCTCCAAGAGCATCAGCCATTGTACCGTTTGAACTGGCGTTGTCAGCAACAACACAGAAAACCTTGTCAAGTATCCCATACTCTCTAAGAACCGGAATAAGATGATCCGCGATGTTTACACCAGTATGCTCGCCATCAATCTCTTTGAGACATAGTATGACTTCTTGAAGTTCAAATTTTTCATTGATCCAGTGGGCAGTGGCACCTAAGACGGATTTTTGATTTGGGGATGTCCAACAGTCACAGGTGATGCTGACGGATATTTGCTTTGCAAAGACTTCCTTCATAACTCCTTTCATTTCGCAAAAGTTCTCTCGTACTGCATCTCCAAGAGCATCCGAGCCGACTAGGAGTGGTGTCACAGCCGGGTTACACAACTCAAGAAGTTTTCGTAGGTCTGGAGAATCGACAAAAGAAAAGGGAAGCTCCTTCATGATGGTGAGGCGAAGGAGTCTTTGTTTTAGGTTCTCGCGGGTGAGCTTGAGAGGCTAGGATCAAAATGGATTAGTCAGAAAGAAAACACAAAAAAGGAACATGAGGCTTGTTGAGTATCAGCTCACCTTCTCAATCTTGCCATCAGTCAAAAAGTTCCTCATAGTCCCGGCTTCGGCGGCAGTGTCTTCAAATATTTTATGACGGCGTTTCAAATGTCGGGACATGGATCTTGTGCTACAAGATTGATCAACGGTCATCACAGCTCCACATACTCTACCTCCCTCAGATGGATGAGGGACTTGACAGATATTCTGCTTGACCTTTGACCCTTTGTCGTATTCAGTTATGAAATGCTTCCAGACCCATGAGAACTTGTGTGAGTTGTCGAGTTTGATTTTCTTGCTTTTTGTAGGGGTCTTGACTTTTAAAGGAGAATCTGATATTGTGATCACTTGTTCATTGGATGAATGGGGGCGTTTAGGAACCATGATGACAATATGAGGGACCTGGCTTGATCAATTTCCACGTTGCTGAACCACATACATAGCGCAAAAAAAAATTACCGGGCCGGGCCCGGCCGGGCAGCCAAAAAACAGGGGGCCCGATTGGCCCATTTTTTGAAGGCCGGGCCGGGTCGGGTCCAAGCCTTACTGAGGAGTAATAATTGCATTCTTGACCCAGATTGTGCAAAAGGGGAACATTGTAGGTTTTTACCATATAACCTCGTACATCAACCTCAAGCAGGCAAAATATTAACCAGTTGGAGTACCTGGGAATCGAACCCAGCGCCTCTCGCAACCACACAAGGAAAGATGCTAAGCGAGCGCTCTACCGATGAGCTAGAACCCCGATGACGTCATCCCTGTATGCATCGTACAAAAAAAATATGGTATGTGAAGTGAGATTGCAGAAGGCGAGTGAAAGCCTGTAGGTGTATTGAGATCACAAAGAGTTGCCACTGTTGCCAAATACTTGAGCCCAAAGTAAAAGAGTCGATCGTTGCTTGTCTTCAATACCACGACTTTGAATCAAGTTCGATCACTTTTGGTGGTCAATTTGGTGAATACAGGCTGCTGATTGATGAATGAGACGGTAAACCGAATCATTTTTTCAATTGGATTGCGCAGTGTTGCTACATAGAGTCTCACGGTGTACTACTACCAAATTCTATCGAACTGCTTACACTCCAACAACACCTTCACCCAAGCTACGAAACAAAATTGAAGAATTTCCGCATATCAAGAGTATATTTATGATGGTGACTCCCGATCTCAATTTAAGTACCTTGATATGGATCTCAGTCAAGCCAGTCATCAAGGTAAAGCCTTTTCTTCATCACTTTACTATTTACTATTTTTTATTTTCTTAGTCTGACGCTTTGTTTGTGTTTCGATTTTAGAATATTATACCAGGTTTAGTAGGTGTCCATCTAGTCAGATCTAAAAGGATTGGAATTGAAGGAGTTAAAGCAGCAGCTCAAATTCAAATTTATGGAGCTTTACCAGTTTGTGACTTTTTCTTGGAAAACCTTTTGACTTGATGTTCTCCTTGTATGAAAGAACTGATCAACGTTTCTTTTGATTATTTATTAGTGTTTAATGTTTTCAAACCTGGTACCTTCTATTACTACTGATAATTCAAAAGATGTGATCATTTGTTTAGGATTTGGAGCGTTTTATATGGTCAGGTCAATTTGAAAGCTTTTCATTGGATCAAAGTGAATATGAAGGATTGATATAGGTGAACTACGATAGGCTTTGAGTTATGCTTTGGCTCGATTACTTTTGTTATTCGTCAAAGTACCACATCATTTCAAGAATGGGTTTATCGTAGCAGCAGTCGTCAGTTTGATTCACTGTCCATTTGTGATTCTCGAATTTTACAACTGATCAGATATAATCCAAATTCTTCGTGATGTATATTTGAACTAGTGGTCGAATTGGGGTAAACTTTTGTCTGTTTAAGTTGCCATCATACCATGAACTGACAAGGTATTTTTCAGGGAATTTACCGTTCAGCGTAATTGCTTCATTGGCTGCTGAACCCCCATTTGGAAGGGTAGGGGATCAAGATTTGGGACTTGCTTATGGATCTTTTTTCGTCTTGGTTAACAATGTAAGTCATCTTCCTTGAATGTGATATCAGTAATGATGAGATCTTGATTGCCTTGAGCAACAATTTGAATATATGTGCCTCTAGTTGTCTTTATTTGGTGGCCCGGGAATAAGGTCAGTCTTCGAGTCTTCCACAAACCAAGAAATCTCACTCACCGGTATTTGATCTCCGTCAGAATGATTCAACGTGACTTTGACGATGTACCAATTAAGGATGATCAAGAAGTTCAACTCACTCATGGATCAGCACCTGACCTCGGTGGCCTTGCAATCGTATCTGCTGAACATAGCTATGGTCGGATCGCTTTACCAGAAGAATCAGAGGATTCTACCTTATCACCATGTCTGTTCTCATACAACTACTCAAGTAGACATCACGGGTTGTTCATCTGATATTTATCTATACCTCGATGGTCTAGCCAAACTGGGTGGACGTTTATCAAGCTCTAACTTCCCAGACACCAACACACCGAGAGAAAGTTCTTCTAGTATGTCATCCCATTTGCCTTCACTTAAGAAGATCCTCTCATTCAGTCCAAAAACTGTCTGGCGACGGGCTACGCAAGATCATGTCTTGTTCTTCACTTGTCTCATTGATCTCGGGCACTTCCACTTACATTCCAGGTCTCAACATCCGATTTCGTGTAGAGCTAGATTCGGAAAAGACGATTTCACAAAAACTTCTGATCACCTTACAGAATCTTGTCACTCCAGTCAGCATTGCAATTAGCTTAGGATTAATAACTGCAATCACACCAGCCTTGAAACATTTATTTGTGATTCCTACAAAACCAAATTTAAATTATCCAACAGCACCCGATGGAAAACCGATTTTATCAATTTTAATTGAATCAGCTGCATTCTTAGGAGCTTCAGCAATCCCATTAGCCTTAATTATCACAGGTGCAAGTTTTGCTAGAATGTCAATCTCACGCGAAACTTCAAATTCATTGCCATTCAAAGCGATCTTTGGTTTAGCATTTATCAAATTAGTGGTTTTACCTATCATTGGATTAAGTTTGATATTTTGTTTGGATAGGTATACAAGTTTGTTTGGAGGAGAAAATAAAGAACTACTAAAAATGATTTGTATTTATTATTCTTGTTCTGTTACTTCTACTAATCAAATCTCTCTAAGTGCTTTGGCTGCTGGCTCATTTGGTCAAGAAAGCAATGTGGAATTGTTATGTGCATTTATCTTGGTTCAGGTATGTTGTTTTGTTATTTCAAGATATCTTTCTGAAGCGTCATGAATCTTTCAACTGCCTTTTCTGATAAAACTGATCAGATTCTATTATTCAATAGTATTTACTTTATCCTATCGCTGGAACGGCCACTATTGGTGCAGGTATCAAGATGTTATTTTGATCATTTTGTTTTTCTCACTTACCATTACCTCTCTTTTATGGATCCTTGGAAATTCACTTCAGCATATTTTTCTCATTCTCTTCAGTCTCTATTTCTCTATGCATCTTTCAAAACTCTTGCGATTGGATGTTTAGTCTCACTTATGACAAAGCCGACTGTATATTAGGATTAGTTAGGAATCATGGATCTTGACTCTAGAATGATGAAGAAATTTTGTATATTGGGCTCGTAACTTGCAAGGAAAATATTGACATTCAAATCGTATGTTCAGTCGATCACTCAATTGACGTCATGGATATGTACAACAGAGTAATCCCATGAACCATTCTTGATCTTGATGTACCAGACCAGACCACATAATTTGAACTATTGCGAACGTTAGACAGTGTGGCTGCATATTTGAATGTGGGCATAATATGGTACAAAGAATAAATGACGTTGTCTTATACACACTGAAAGCAAAATCCAGTACTACAATATAGCAAGAGAGTTCTTGGCTTTTGTATTTACATACGCAAAACAATCGTTTCGTAGCGCCAAAAATACAATCAAAAACCTAAAAAAGCAAGGTAAAGTTAGTCACTTATTTCAGGAATCCAAGCTTGAAAGGAAGTAAAGATGCATACCATATTTAGCACCACCTGCTTTTCGATTAAATTTACCACGTGAGATACGATCTTCTAATTCAGCTCGATTAGCTTGAGCTTCAGTAAGTAAAGAAGATAACTGATGGCGACCTCTAGCTCTAGATGAGATTTGTTTCTGATCGCCCCAAGAAACAAAACCAACAGAAATGAAAGAAAACTTTCAGAGACTTGAAAAGAAGTAAAGACGATCAAAAAAAAGGGGGACGTACAGCAGGTTTTCCAGCCGCTTTCTCAGCTTGTTCTTTTCTCGCTTCTTCTCTTGGATCGATAATCTTAGGTTTATTCTCCCAAGCTAATTGAGCCACTTTACCCGCATTGAATTCTTCCATTCCTCCTAGACCTCCTAATTGGCCATTGGATTGTTTAAAGAAATCTTTGGGTACTTCTTTTGATGAAGTTTGTTGATCTAATGTGTTGTTGGATTGATAATGTGTTTCATAAAACGTTTTCCATTCTGGTTCTTCCAGACTTCTTGCACACCATTGTCCATTTGATCTTTGCCAATAACCTGGGTATGGATCATTTAGGGTTGGTGGTGGTGGTTTTTCTTCCACTACTTGGGGGGCTGAGGAGATCGTTATCGAGGGTGAGATGGAGTTGGTGGTTGACTGAGGTTTGGATAGTGTGGATGTGGAAGGTAAACCAAAGAGGTTTAGTCCCTCTGCTTGGGAAGAAGAAGAAGACTGATTTGGATTGGATAGTTGAGAAGAATCTGTTAAAATCAAAGGTGGTTCGGGTGTAGAGGTTTGGTCATTCTGAGCGGGTTGAGTTGATGATGGGGCAGCAAGCTTGGATGAAGAAGTTGCTGGCTTGATTATATTGAGCCTTCCTTTGGGTATTGGATTAGGATTCTTAGGCGGAGGAAGAAGAGCAGCTAAGCCTGATTTCTTTTTAGCTAAAGACTCGAGCTTCGGTTTCTTTGATTCATTAAGATCTTCTCGGTCTAGATTCCCGGATTCTGATCGTTTCAGATTGGTGGGTTCGGTTTCATGATCGGTGGTACGAGGAAGTAATGGCTCAAGCAAGATGCGAGCTTTTGTAGGCTTATTACGTTTAGGTGGAGGAAGACGAAGGTTTGATGGAATTGATATAGTTGGATTGGGTTGGGCTTGAAGTGTTGATGAAGATGGAATAGGATCCTTTTGACTAGAATTTGAATCAGAATCAGAACCATAATCAACAAGTTGCATGATGAATGAATTGAAGGAGACTTTAATGATCAAGATGGTGGAAGTGGAAGTTAGAAAGGTTCAGATACTTCAAAACTTCACTTTAAGCATATCTAAGTATCTTTATGACTCTATCGCGTGAAAGCAGTTGTGATTGGTTTAGACAGGTTTTGGAAAAAGCAACACATCACTTATAACTTCATATTTGATCACCTTGATCAATCATTTAAGTCTTATACTTGATTACTTTATCTCTCAATCAAAGAAGTCATCTTTTGTAACGCATTTTCCTTCATGCGCTTGCACCTGTGACCTTTGCACCAATCCTCATCAAATTGTTTATAGACAACAATGTATATCATAGAGGCCATGGCTGGTGATGGTGAACTGTTTCATTGAATGGCACACATTGAATGAATTCACCTGATTTCCTGTGACCAAAAACTGATTCATATGTATCATCCAGTGTTTCTTGAGCTTTGGTCTAAAAACTGATAGGTCAAAAGGATATGTGCTCAAGTGAAGTAAACCTCCAATGTTGACCTCCAAGATAAAGTCAATTGAGGTTACAGAGTTAGACTATGTACTAATAGGGTTGCTAGCAAACATAAACCACATATTTGATGTCAAAGGCAAGGGTGCCACTATACTATACTGGTTTGGGTATAGTTGGGTATAGTATAGTTTAAACTAAACTATACCATACTGGGTATAGTATGGTTGCAACTATACTTTACCCAACTATACTCAGTATAGTATCTTTTCATCAACCATACCTGAAAAAGGGTTATGCATGTTTTTAATCAACTTGTCCAACTATACTGCACAGTACAGTATAGTATATCTGAGTATAGTTCATCTATACTATACTGAGTTTAGTTCAAGTCAGTATAGTTGGACTCTATACTATACTGAGTATAGTGAAGTATAGTATAGTATAGTATAGTATAGTGACAGCCTTGTCAAAGGTGTGGAGGTGGTAAGTAGAGTTTGGTAGGATCAGAGATTGGATAGCTCCCCTGGAGAGTCTTGGCCCGGCCCTAGATACTGCCGTGTCCAACTTGGCCTTGGATCTGGTGACTCAAGTTGGATCCGGCCAGGTGGGTGTGCATGGGTGATTCATGTTTTGGGGGTCCATTGAGTCAGAAGGAATCAGGCCAAGAAGCGGCATTTGTCCTTCATGATTGAGTATGTGTTGAAAATCAAAATGCAGTGGTCAAAGCATTTTGATTTACAGCTTATTTGCAAGGTGGTTCAATGACACATGGATCTTAGTCCCTGTGTATCTATAGTGTTTTCTGCCCCAAAGGTTATTGCAATTAGGGGGATCATCAAAGAGCTACCCCACACAGGAACAGTGAATTTGAAGACAGTCCTCCTCTGAGGCTGGGTGAGACTGGGTTTATGAAGGAAGAAATAAAATGATATTTACAAATTTAAATCTACATTAAAACAATGTATCATAGGATCCTCCCCTCTCTCTCCGTAAATGTCCTTTGTTTTGAACAGTTTGTTACCAAATGTGAGAGATGCACTTCTGAAGTCTTAGCTGCCCAGAAGCCTTTTTGGGAATATTTGGTGCTGTGGGATAACTTGCCATAAACCTTCTGAGGCAATTATGTTCTTGAAGCTAGCAGCTGAGCCACCACATACACACAAGCCAAAACCCAGTCAGTCCATCAAGGAATTGACATGTGTGTTGGGATGTCTACTCTAGAATTTGAAAGCATGCATAACCAATGCTATGTTCACTGGAGCCTGTGACCTTTTGTAGGTCCTTGAAGGAGGCATATTTATCAAAATTTATTGCCACAAATGATCTGTTCAAGTTGCGGTGACAGCTCAGGTCAATTGTCATGCACACCATGGCAAGATGAGGGAGATGTACATTTCTGTAAGGCAGTAACAAGCTTGTTGCACTGCATGAAGTGACATGAAAAATCCTGCCCCGCAAGAACTTGTCACATCACATGGTGCACTATCTGGTTTGCGGCAAAATGCTCCAGGGTGGCATGTGTCATCAGTTCTGGGGTGACAACAGTATTGATTGGGCAGCAACATCAAGCCCTGAGAGGCAACAGAAAAAATGGAGCAGCAACATAGATGCCTTTGTGGCAACATTTACCAATATGTTCAGAAATAGAAATACATGTGTGGCAACATATAAACATGTGTGGCAACTCATATACATCTGTTGCAACACATATACATGTGTGGCAAGAATCAAGATAAGCACATGTGTAACAATATGATGTATTATATGCATCATTTGGGATACTCAGGACTGTGGAAATTTCTAGAATGTTCCAAGATTTCTGTACAATTGATTTTTTGCGTTTTTTTGCAAAAAAATAGCATCTTGAAACTAGGGTTCCAAAATTCCTGCTCAAGCCTAATAGGTTTGAGTAACATAATTGCACACTTGTGCAGTGTTTTTTTTGGCCAGGAAACTTGGCCATCATTTCACACTTGTTTGATTGTCATTGACACTTATGCTACTTTTGTAGACTCTCAAGACTTCACAGAAGGTTTGATGTATGAACTCACTGACATATGTATGTCTATGATATTCATGTCTGTGATATTCATGTCTATGATATTCATGTCTGTGATATGCATGTAGCTACCTGGTGGTGGAACTCTTGTGGGATACAAAGTAGAATCCGGGCACATGCCCGGCTTTGTGCCCGGAATTATTTTGGCAGTAAAATTTGATTTTCTGGGCAAAAGTCCGGGCCCAGAATTCTAATTTACTGCCAAAAAAATAGGGGCATTTTGCCGGGCACGTGCCGGGCTCTACTTTGTATCCCGTATATGGACCAGCTCTGTCCGCGCCTGCCTGTGCCCAATGACTTCCCGGGAAACAAGCAGTACGCACTTGGGTTTAAATAAGCTTGACCTGAGAAGTCCAAACAGCCCCATCCTGGGCCTGATCACCTAGAGTGTTGGCCCTATCCTGTCAACACAGCCTTGGAGCTACCCTGTTCAGCTCGATAATACGACTGGTGTCTCAGGACGGCCACATTGCCCCAGGGCCAGGTTTTAGCCTACCTGGCAGTCATTTGCAAGCACTTGGTTGGGGTTTGAAAGTTCAGGACCCAAAAAATTGTTGTGCCAAACACACTCTTGCACTTATGTGGACAGATCACACTTGTGTAAGAAGTTCACACTCTTGTGGGTGGATCACACTACTATGCTCAGATCAAAGTAGTATGGGCAGATCACACTTTTATGAGTGTTATGGTCCCAAAGCAAGCTTATTAGGTAGGGAAACAAACAAGTAACAAGATATGCATGTCTTATTACAAGTGTAGAAAGTAGTACCTGATGATCTTGAAAATAAAAGACAAGAGAGTGAATTGAATGGTAATCAGGCTGTGGCCACAACTTATGTTTTTAGGGATGATAAAGAGTTCATAAGGGGTATTGAGTGTTATACGGACAATTGGTAAGTTTTGGGTAATCTTTGTGAATTGGCAAACTCATTACATACAAAATAACTACATGCAAACAAAGAATCACATGTAGTCATATGAGTCATAAAATATAAGAACTAGTTAAATAGACAATAGCTACATGTAATAATTACCCTTGTGCTTTTTAAATCAAAAATTTTGGTATTCCATTGTATTTGAGTTCTTTCTACCTGTCAATTGATTCATCAATATCAAACCTATATCTGATATCCTGCAGCTTTACTCAAGTCATTCTATTTCCATTTTTCTTGTTCTATAGAATTCTGCCTATCCAGTTTCTGTTCAATCCACTGTTCAATCCAAAACCTTTTGAGTAGTCGGATATGTCAGGCTTGGTGAGAAAAAAATGGGATACAAGTTTGGGTGTGAATGACCCACATCTACATGCTTACTTGGTACTGGTTGAGACAAGATGTGGTGGATGAGAAATTGCATTTTTTGAGACATGTAGTAATCACACATGTTTCAAAGTTCATCACACAAGTGTAAAATGATGGCTGAGTCTCCCGGGAAACAAAACTACAAAAGTGTGCAATAATGGTACTCAGGACTATGAAGCTTGAGCCAGTTTTTCAAAAACCTAGATTCAAAATGGTTTTTGTGGGTAATGAATTGTACATAAACCTTAAGAAACTCACAGAACATTTTCCTGCCAAAAAACAACCTTGAGTTTAGGTTTGAGAGGACAAAGGTGCTGCAAACGCAATAGTCTTGAGTAACCTCAATTATGCATGAGATACATCATGTTGCTGCACATGTATATATGTTGCCACACATGATTGTAAATTTTGCCGCACAGCCATTTATGTTGGCATTCATGCTGCCCCAATTTTGTTGTTGCCTCCCAATGATTACTGTTGCCACACAAGAGTTGACAACCCATGCCACCCTGTAGCATATTGCTGCTCACCAAATAGCACACCACGTGATGTGACAACTGCAAGGAGTGCGCGTCAGTTGGGAGTACTCTTCACTAAGGATATGATAGGAAAGGTAAAGTGTGGTCTTCATGTGGTACACCCAAGTGAAGACTACAGCTAGGTAACCTCTAAGAAGAGGATTTGAGGAAGAGAAAAAGAGACTAAGGGCAGTAAAGAGCTAGTACACTCTAACCTTGTGAGACTGTGAGGGGCAGGCTTTACACTTTGGTGAACCAAAGATCCTGAAGGCTACTTTAGACTCTGTGTAATGGAGGAAGCTTTGCTGCTTTACAGTTTATTTTTAGAGGCTATGATTTCCTAGGGCTTGTAGAAATCAATACCAGGGGTACTCAGCAATGAAACCCATAATGCTCGAGTTTAGTCTTTAGACTACACAACTAATCACATACTCAAGGATCCTCTTAATGGGATTTCAAGTATAATGTTATTCTGATGTTGTGATGTGTTAAAAGATGGGGGATGACTCAAGTGAAGAAGGGGGGATTATATAGCCACGGGTGAAGTGTCAACTTGTGGTTGGCGTGTGATCCTTGTCTCAACTTGTAGTTGAGGCTTGGGTTAGGTTTGTTATGTATTTAATACATTATGTACATGTGTTTACGTG